CAACATAATGTTCATATTCTTATGATCAAGACATTGTAGAATATGTGGTTGCAGGAGGCATTATATGTAGTATGAGAACACTATTATAGATCTTTTGCCATAAGTACTGTAGCATTCCAGCAATATCGCACCTAGATTCTCCTATGCCATATCCCTTTTTTTCCCCATTGTGCAATAGGTGGAGATTTTCTGTTTGCAGATACTAACGCATGCTCACACAAGACAGCTGAAGCATTTAAGATATTAGAAAGGGAAGATGCTGAACATATGGAATAGTCTGCATGTTTACCAAACTTAAATCCAAGACAGCAGTGGTCTTCAAACTTTGCGGATTTATGGAACCATCAGAACTCTTTTAAGTTTTTTTTTTTTTTTTTTTTTCCAAAAAAACCCATCCAACCCCTTCGGATTCTTCCCAAGGGTTGGATATTATACTTAAATTAAATCAACATGTTATAGGTACTTTGTGTGAAAGCAATTAAAGAAAAGTATTGTAGTTTTTATTAAAAAATTCTCATATAAATTTACTATAAATAGCATTAACTAATGCTCCAGGTGTCATCTTTCCTTAAATTATATTTAGTAACAGTGTTGTGCTTGCATTTTTTATACAAACTTTTGAAGTCTAGTTCTTTGATATTATCTGCAGTCACATTTCATATTTTGCATTTGTATCAATATCTTGTTTTTCTTGCCACGTACATTAAGAAAGACATTGATTTCAAGAAGATAGTAAGTATATCCTGTTGAAAGTCGTGTATCTGTCATCATATTGGTAGTAAAGAGCATTTCTGTAAGTGTTCTAAATTTCTTCACCAAGCATCTTTCTCTCTCTCTTCCCCCCACCCAGTATTGAAACCAGTATTGTTTTGCATTACAAGCAAATGCACCGTTACTTCTACTACAGATGAAATAGGTGAAGCATTTTTTTTTTTTTTTTTTTTTTAAATAAAGAAGCAAACAAGTGAATATACCTGGAAATTCTATCTTTGAAGAGTGTATTAAAATTCATAAAGAATATTCAGTGTGAGGATTATCTGAATGCGATTTAATTCGATGTTTGCTTAATTCTTGGGGGGAGTGACTAGTGGTTATTCTGATGAAAATATAGAGGAAAAACAGCTGTGTGTATCAATGAAAGATGCAAGAAATCCCATTGGAATGCTGCAGATTTTCTTCCAAAGGAAAAAAAAAAAAAAAAAAAAATGCAAGCAAATGTTTTATATTAGCTTATACTTTGGAAAATGGGACAAACCAGCAATCAAACTTCACAGAAAATAACTTAATATAAATGATGATTCTTTCTCTTGTTATAGTATATATATATATTTATATATATTGTGTGTGTGAAATGAAATAAAGAACTTTTCTGAGTACGAATTTTTTTAATTACAAAATTTTAATTAATTCCTAATTGTTTAAATTACAGATATGCATATTGTTATTATAATTTAAATCTTTGATTATTTAATATTCTTAATATTAATAAATAACTTTTGAACTTTCATATTAATAAATAACTTTGGAGGTACATTGAGCTACCTTCCATACTATGCCCATTTCTGTACACTGGTGTGCAAAAATTAAGGATGAGGCGGTTTTTTCAATATAACTTTGTACAAAAGCTTTTCAAATCAACACATTTAATACCGTAACATCCCCAATACGTAAGGACATGAGTAATGTAAGCAACACTTACTAGAGAAATCAGAGGGATAAAAAGAAGCTTTATTGAAAAAGTAGCATGGAGCGCAATGTGACTGAAGGCCGAAACATCCCTGTAATGGGTGTTCAGTAAGAAACATCCGGTCTTTAATAGGGGATATGATCTCCCCTGACTGCTGGGCAGGTTTCACAGCATCTGCCCATGCTGAGAATGAGGGTGTCAATGAGTTGTTGAGGCATTGCTGCCCATTCATCTTGCAGCGCCAATCAAAGCTTTGGAATCACTACTGGTGGTACAGTACGAGCTGCCAATCATCTGCCTAGAAAATCCCATACATGCTCGATGGGATTGAGATCCGGAGATCGTGCCGACCAATCTATACGTTCAATATCCTCACTCTCTAAGAGCTGTTTGGCAGCTACTGTGCGATGACATGGTACATTGTCGTCCATGAAAAGGAATTGCGGACCCACAGTGCCTCTAAAAAGACGCACATATGGAAGAAGAATCTCGTTACAATAATGGGTCCCGTTGACTGAACCTGCGTCGAAGATGTGAAGGTCTGTACGACCCAAGCATGATGCCTCCCCAAACAAGAACACCACCACCTGCATACCTGTCCCTTTCAATGATGTTCAAGGGATGATTGTGGCTTCCCCGCTCTCTCCAGATGAGTATGCGATGAGAATCGCTACTCAGACTGAATCTGCTCTCATCTGTATAGAGTACTCGTCCCCATTCATTGTCTCTCCAATTCCGGTGTTCCTGGCATCACAGAGAATGCCTTCTTCGATGGGCAGGCGTTAGAGGTACACACCGTACAGGGCATCGTGCAAACAGACCACCACCGTGCAATCTTCTGGCCACGGTAAAACGCGATATCGGTCGTCCAGTCGCCTGTGTCGTGTGTCTAGCAATTTCTCCCGCTGTCTGCCGCCTGTTTTTTCTGGCTTGTGGCAATATACCAGTCATCTGCAGGTGTGGTTCCTCATGGACGACCACTACTAAACCCCCGGATAGCTGTTCCTGTAGTTTGAAATTGTCTCCAAAGTCGTGAAACGATGCTGTGAGCAATTCCAAACTCTGCAGCCACACTTGTCACACTGCGGCCTTCCTCCAACTTCCCAATGATTCGACCTTGGGTAAAAGCATCCAGATGTCGTCTAACAGATTGATTATTCGCCATTTCTCGCTGAGGCAGCAACTCGGTGTGATTTTAACTGCTATACGGCGTACAATCTCTTTGCCAGAAATACTGATCTTACACCGACAACATGCTTTATACTACTCAGACATTTTCCCATTATGTCTACCTGCATATCTGCGCATGTGCTACCGTACATCACCTTACTTAATCTCCTGATTGGTCTTTCTGTCCGCTCTGCCTCTTCGTTCAGCTGATATGCTAATTTTTCGACTTGGTCCTTAATTTTTGCACACCAGTGTAAGTCTCTATGGGGTTATTATTTTCCAAGCTGGCTTAATAAATTTTGAGGTGAATTGTATAAATATGTAATGAAATTAAATAAGAAATTTATAAAAATTTATCTTATTTTTGTAAGGAAGTTAGAAGTTTATTGTGATACAAGGGGAAAAAATAAAAAAGAAAAAGAATTGGGGGGAAAAAGGCTTATGGTTAAAAATGCACATTTATTCTATTCCTGAAATATTACAAAGCTAAGAGCTGATAAATAAAGCTTAAAATCTGTGTTACTTTACTATGTAGTTTTAATATTATGAATTTATATTAATTTGAAAATGTGTAGTAAAAATGTTATTTAAAGAATTTGAATATATGGATTTATTTTAGTTGAACTTCCTTATCATCTTCGTGCACTTTTCTATCATCTGTAGGAATTTTTCTATCAATTAAGTACGAGGCGTATTCGGAAACTAAGTACCGTTTTGAAAAAAAAAAAAAAAAAAGTGAAACAATTTTTTCAAATCCAATTTTATTTTTACATGAAAATGCATGTCTTAAACTATTTTTCAACATAGTTTCCGCCAATGATCAAGCACTTGTCATAGCGGGTGACCAGTTTTTTTATACCATCGTCAAAGAAACTTCCCGCCAGTTTCGATAACCACGACTCCACAGCATTTTTCGTGTCATCCCAAAGCGCTTGTCACCAAGCTCGTGCTTCATGTGCAGGAACAAGTGATAGTCGGACGGCGCCAAGTCCTGGCTGTAGAGCGGGTGATCGAACTGCTCCCAATGAAAGTGTCGAATTAACGATTGAGTGACACCAGCAGTATGGAGCCGAGCATTGTCATGGAGCAACACAATTCCTTTACTGAGCATTCCTCTTCGTTTGTTTTGAATGGCACGCCTTAGTTTTGTTAAAGTCTCGCAATATCGTGCCGCATTAATTTTATCACAATATCGCTCTGGGAAGAAATTCAGTAAGCAAAATGCCTTTCCTATCCCAAAAGACAGTGCACATGATTTTTTGTGATGACATTGTCACTTTGAACTTTTGTTTCTTCAAAGAATGAGTGTGTCTCCACTCCATTGATTGTTGTTTCGATTCTGGTGTGAAATGACACTCCCAAATTTCATCACCTGTCACAATTTGGTATAAAAAGTTTTCTCCCTCATCACTGTACCGCGTGAGAAATGTCAGGGCACTACCTAGTCGCTTTGTTTTGTGAACATCATTGAGCATTTTTGGAACCCATCGGGAACACAGTTTGCGATAATTCAAGCGGTCAGACACAATTTCGAACAAAACAGTACGTGAAATTTGTGGAAATGCCTCTGAAAGAGTTGTCATTGTGAAGCGTCTGTTCTCATGAATTGCTTCATCAACTTTCCTTACCAAATCATCAGTGACAACAGAAGGCCAACCACTCCGAGCCTCGGCCGGGACATTTGTTCGACCTGCATTAAACATTCTTACCCACTTTCTCACCATTCCATCACTTATCGCGTATTCACCGTAAACTTCTGTCACTTGACGATAAATTTCGGCCGGTTTAACATTCCTTGCGTTCAAAAATTTAATCACGGCACAAATCTCACAGTCAGTGGGAGAACTAATTGTCTTAAACATTTTGAATGAGCACAGCAAACTGAAAACACAACATAGAGCAACCAAAATGGCGACAATTGAAAGTCAGTGAACAGGAAAGACTAGTGCGCATGCGCGGGACGCCTACCACAGCGCTAGCATGAAACGGTACTTAGTTTCCGAATACGCTACATAATTATGTGCTGGTTATATATAAGACTGTGGTTAAAGTGTTAAATAAAGTGGTGGTGGTTATATATATATATATATATATATATCTAACTTGTATTGTAAATTCTAAGAACTTTTCCCCCTCTTTGAAGGTATTGATGCACCTAAAGAATCTTTAAACAGATGGTTTATGGAAAGAAAAATTATTGATAGGGGCTCTGATCCCCTTCTTCCATCCAATTGTTATCCAGAAATATCCCAGTCGATGTTTCGGGAAATAATGAATGATATTCCTATCAAACTTGTTAGACCAAAGTTTTCCGGTGATGCACGAAAGCAACTCTCAAAGTACGCTGAAGCGGCTAAGAAAATGATTGAATCTAGGTAATGACTTTTTTAATTTTATTTATTTAATATAATGTAGTTAAACTCTTGATGAGCAACCAATTTCTGAGACCGTAAATAAATGTCAGTATTAAATAATATTGTTAATCAAGCAAACAACACCACCACAAAAAATCAGTTATCTGGATTCATAGTTGGTCATCTGACCAAGATTTCACTATATTTACATGCAAGAAAAATAAATCTAGAATTGGTAAATGTTTATACGTATATCCTCGATATTTTTTGTCACTGCCAAACATATTTACATATTTCTTCTGTCCAGATTTATTATAAGTTAACAAACATTGAATGAAAATTTATGGTAATAATTATTGAAAAAATTTTATAATCTTAATTAAAAAATAGCCTCAATTTGCATTGAGGGAGGATGATAAGAAAGTATTTTTTAAATAAAATTTTCCATTTTATGCAAATTTTTATTTTGAAAGTTGAAAAAAGAATTTTGAAAATAAAACAAGCTGTGGTGTCGAAAATGTGGTAATCATACAATAAAATTCCATCGTAAATTGGGCTGGAACCCACTGAGGATGCTGTTAATGGTTATGATAATAAGAAGAATGTGCAAGTTTTCTCTACTTAATGTAAGCTGTTTACATAATGCATAAACATACATGTTTACATGCATAATGGAATATTTCATGACTTTCCTTCGTTAAATTTTTTGCCAATGCATTATTTGATTTGTAGTTTTGCAACTAAGTAAGTTTTAAGTATTTTCAGATCTCTTTTAACATACCATAGAAGTGCATTATTCTCTGCCAAACAGCCATGTGAAGGAGCAATGAAAATTTCTCACATTCAGTATTTTAGTGTAAAAACTAATATTTCATACTAAAATAATTAAGTTACTTTTATTTTTTATTTATCTTTCAGTATAATATTGATTTTTTTCATCAGTTGCTTCCTTATTACTAATTATATGACATGTTGTGAATGATTACCACATACTATAATAAGCAGTGGAAACCATCATACGGTTCAACAAATGACTGCTTACCACAAACAATGGTAAATTGTGAAGACCATCACGTGGTTTAGCAGTCGTTTTCTCTAGTGATAAACACTGTGCGAAAATGACTACTTACCACATGATGATGGAAAAGTGCACTAATACTGATGCGTTAATTTGCCAGTGTGCATCACTTATTTGTAACGATTTGCAAGTAGGACTGTTGGGATGATTAATATTTTATATAGACAAATCAGTTATGATTCAGCCGTATATATCATAGACATTCTAAATGTTTCTTTAGTTCATAGAGGCATTTTGCGTCGAATCCTTAAAAGTGTTAAATTAGTTTTTAAATTGCTGCTGCAAATAAATATTATTGCCCTTTATTATATTTAAAGAAATTAAATAATAAAGAATCTACATGGATGTATGTATATTTCTTGCATTGTGAAAAAACAGCAGTACCTAGAGCTTGTAGCGTCCTCATTTTAAAGTGTTGAGTCAATGGGCTGGTTTGTTATCGCTTTCACTAACTAATCAATAGATACCTGTTGATTAGTTAGTGAAATTGATAACAAACCTGCTTCAAACAAATATTAAATATCTTATGTGGCAAAGTGCTGGATCAATCTATACATCCATTTGTATCATGGTTTTGCTCCATTCTAATTATATCCCCCCCACATTGTGGGAAAAGACAACAGCAGTTTATCCCTTTAGAGATTTTAAGTTGGAACCGAGCTATTAAATTTTGAATAATGTAGTCCTCCACTCAAATATGGGCACTTGGAAGCCCAGTTTAATTTTTAATTTTTTTATTGTCTGATTCATATTTTGTAAAACTTTTAATGAATTTTTGATTAAAAAACACAATGATTTTTTTAATCAAAAATTCATTAAGACTTTTATGTTCAAAAGTGAGCAGTAGCAGCACTGTATGAAATAAAAAAATTTTATCTGCAACACACAAGACTGTCTGTCAGAAATTCTAAAGATATGCTGTTTTAAAATATTTTTAGTTCAAAGGAGCATTAGCTCAAATGCTCTCGAAATGGCTTTCAAAACATGCATATGTGTATAAATGAAAAAAAAATGTCCTTTTGGGCATAATATACAATTTGAAAGCTTACAGAATCCAGGATATTATCCTTATTTGAAACTTTATGACATAATTTTAAATTTATCTGCATTATTAGGACACTCAGGAAAATCTTGCTTAATATGAATTCAGTATGCAAAGCAATCAGCACAGCTGAGTAAAATAATTATGCTCTGTGTAAGTAGTTAATCAAAACCAAAATTCATTACATGAAGTTTTTTTGTTTCCAAGTCATAGAAATTAGTTTGCTTTTAATCTAGCAGTATCATTAGAATAAATAAAAAGTGATAATTATAACACTGAAGAAACACAGTGCAAGTGTTTGCATTCATGATATATGAAGTAAACCCACAAATGGCAACCACCTCCCTAAGACATTCTAAGAAATACTGGTCAAAAAATAATATTATGCTTGAGGACATAAATAAACTTCGATGGTAATCATCTTTCTAAGATAATATTTAAGACTATTGAAACACTGTTTGAATAAGAGTAGTTTTAGAGATTAAAATATTTTTCTTATAAGATCTCTTATATTCTAAATTAGGGGTCTTCAACCTTTTACACCTGAGGGCTACATCAATAAATTCACAAACATCCGCATGCCACATGTCTGTCAAAAAAATAGTGTAGTCGGAAAATTTATATAAAAAAGAGAGGCTTCTTTTGCAAGACTACAATTGATTCTAAGCAAAGAGATAGTGTTACAGATTTGTATATGTATACATTGGTTCCAAAAAGTCAATCCAAAAGTCAGAAATTAAATGTAAATGTTTTGCAGCTTTTTTTAGCAATGAAAAAAAGTATAAAGATGATTGTACAGAACAATATTACAAAATGCATGTGCAATAAAAAATTTAAAAAAAAAACACTTGCATTACTGCCGGGAGATGGTAGTTACTTTGGTTTCAATGTGAAATTTGACATTGTTTTTGCTTGATTAAAGCTTCAATATCCAGTTTAATCTGTGTTGTTGCAATTCGTAAAAGTTTTCTCCAAATGTCTGTGTGTCAGCCGTGTTCTTGTTTTCGATTTTAGGATTTTCATTTTACTAAAACGCTGTTCACATATGTAGGCACAGCCAAACATAGAAGACATAAAAGACTGCATGTTTACGAATTCCTGGATACTTGTCTTCCGTCACATATTTCGAATAAAATTTAATTAATGTAGGATTTTCAAGGAACTTGCATTTTATTTTACTGCAGAGTCACACTGTAAATCTATAAATTTTAATTGAAGTTCAGTTAAACAACCATTCATCATTAAAAATGAGAGTTAAAATGTTAAAAAGCTGAGAAACATTATTTTTAGGTGCTTTTAGTATAGTTGTGCATGGTATCTCCAAGTTAGGTTGTGTAATGATGTGTTCTTAACGTATGCTGACTATAGAGGTATACATTATTAAGTGATATTAAAATATGTATAAATGCATTGGAATCTTAATAAAATGCTGATTTGAAGAACAGGACAAGTTGACCCAGAAATTGGTATTATAAATATTGATTACAATTGTGAAAATGATATGATTCTAGATTTACTTGAATTTGAAACCAAAATCTTATTATTTTAAAAATCATTCTTGTGTCTTTAATTTGTAAAGCTTTGTTGTTAAATGAACCTGTTTCTTCTTTTCATTCACTTTGTAGAATCTTCAGACTTTGCTTAAGTACTTTATGTTATAGATAATTTATGAAAACTTTTGTACATATACCTGTTATTATGTCTTTCTTTGAAACAGTTTTTTTTTTTTTCTTTTTTTTTTCCCTTCAATAGAAGTGCTGTTAAAAGCTTTGTGGTGTTTACCATTATGTAAATTTTATGTGAAAGAAATATTTTCCCCCTTTTTTTGCACAGTTTACTTTAATTACATTACAGTTAATAATTTTATAGTATCGGTGGCTATACATGAAATGACTTTGACTGTGAAGAGCATCTTTACCTATTTAAGCATTTTGTTGCGAAAAGCATAACCCTTGTGTGCTTTGTAATAATTAAGTAAACTAAACCATTTTGCTCCAAAGAAAAAGGGGAAAAATTCATTTTTAATATTTATCATCTTTCAGTCCAATTTTATATTAATGTGTATTAATGCTCATTTCAATAGTAATTTTAAAGGTGGATTAAGAAAAAGTACTATTTGGATTTAAAAATTGGAAGATTTAAACTTCTACTATTAACTGTATTTAAAAGATTGTTTTTTAGTTGTAATTTGGAAAGGAGGAAATACTTTTTTTTTAAAATACATATAAAGTGTAAAAATAAACATTTAAAACAAATTTGTTTATTTCTGTTTATTTTATTTGTTTGGAATTTGAGGAGAAAGAAAAGAAAAGATTTTGTTGAATTTGGACAGAAATACACTAGTATAATGTTTAAAATTAAATAAAAACGCAGCCCAAGGTTGATGTAAATTTTAAATAATCTTTTTTTTGCTCAATCTGTATTAACCCAAATTTGCCCCCTTTTTAGCTTGTTTTTTGCCTGTTCTGTTAGTCATGAACAGATATTTAATTGTAGACTTGTTAAAATAGAGTGACACATATTTGAGATGATACAGATCAGAATAAGGCACAGTATATTGACCCATATCTTGTAATGTATGCACTTTAATTTAAAAATTTTCTGAAGTTAAAATATACATAGAAAGCGGGCATTTATAACATTTTTTATTTTTAAAATATGCATTTATTTGCATGTTGATGATGTAGTTTTTTAATTTATTATGGGAAAATGAAGAATAAAATGCCTACCTCCTTCGTTGTGTAAAATGTAAAAATGATGAAAAAGATTCCTGTTTTTTTCTCTTTATTTATTCGTTTATTTACTTTTGTTTAGAAATATTTCTCCTGAAAGTCGAAAAATTGTGAAATGGAATGCAGAAGATGCCTTTCAGTGGATAAGGAAGACACTTAATGCAACATTTGATGATTATCTGGTAAATTTTCTTTTATTTATTTAGATTACCTTATTTCCTTTTACATTAATCATTAATTCTAAGAGATTTAAGTTGAAAATTACTTTGGAAAATGATAAGTTAAATTTTTATCTTAACCAATGTGTATTAGCATTTAATATTCATAAATATGCACTTGGCACGTTTTGAGAGTGGTAGATAATTTTTAATCTGTTGTGTTATGCTTAAATTCTCAGAATTTTAAGCGTTTAAAATGCCCTACCACACACATGCAAAAAGGGGGGAGGAATAAAAAACAAAAGCCTTAGATGTTTATGTACAGCATAAAAATAGTTTAGAAAACTGTGTGTAATAGGTAGATAAAAATTGTTTTGACTTTTGTAAAGATGCCACTTTGATCAGTAGAGTGGTTAGTGCTTCCCGCATCATTGGGCTGAGGTTGCTGTCCCAGAGAAGGCACAAATATTTGTAAGGGTATGTTGTCTGTGCTTTATGGGAGCACTCAAAATACACAGCAAGTCAAAAGTCTTCTCGAGTGGTTTGGTAGTAGACCTTTGGACTGTTGCCTGGGGTGTTTTCCATCAAAATTGGGATGGAAGGTAATAATTAGTGTTGCAAGACTACATCTCTATGATCACTGGTGATATTTTGGTATGCTGACCCCTTTAGTAAAATTACTAATATGACTAATTACCATAAACTATTGTAGTATTTATTACTGTCATTGAGAAATCATGCAGAGATTTTTCTGATCTATTTCTGTATGCCATTAATCCTAGGTTGTTTATTTTTTAATCTGGTGTTTTTTATTTATTATTCTTTATGTAAGTTGTTTACATCTTTTTTCCTTTCCTCTAACATCAGAAGTAAAATAAATTGAAAAAATACATAAAAACAAATAATTCTATATCATGTATTTAATTATGTGGTATTGGAAAGATCCTTTATAACTGCATTAATGGTGCAAACGTCCATAAAAATAGTCAATTCGATATATTACAAATTAAACATACATTACATGTTTAAAATTAAATATCAGCTGGAAGAATTTAAATGAAATTAATACTTAGGTCGCTGGTCTAAGATGTTGCATTAAATTACTGCAGTGTGTTTGTAGCTTTGAAATTTGCTCACATATATTATTAAAGAAAACATCTTGGTTTCTTGTGCAAAGCAACACTTGCAATTTCTCATGGATGACAAATAGTGTTTCAGTGTTATATAATGCAGCAGCCCAAAAATTTGCTTAAGGACTCTCTGTTGAAGGTGCGTCTGATGCCAATAAATGGGGAAAGGGGAGAAAAGTGCTTATAGAAATGTGCTTTCAGGTAAAAATTGTTACTCCAAAGGGGCATTAGATCAAAAGAATTAAAGTCTCAAAATGGCATTTTGTATCGTTTCACTTTTTGTGTTGATTCACTTCTCAAACTGTTGCCTATCAAATATTATTGTCATGTAAATTAAATGATGAAAAATCTGCAGGACTGTTTCTCGTATTGTGAAAAAACAGTGGTACCTAGAGCCCTCATATTATGAATAATGTAGTCCTTTATCTAAATATCGCCACTTTGAAGCCCACATTTTGAATTTTAAATTTGTTTTATCATCAGTTTCAAACTTTGTAACGTTTTAATGAATTTTTTAATAACAAACTCAATGATTTCAAAGCGAGCAATGGCAACTCTGTATGGGGGGATATTTATCTCCAGCATGCAAGACTGTGTATCGGAAATTCTAAAGATATGTTTTCAAATACTTTGTGATATTGCTGTTGAACTGAATTTTATGAGGTATCAGTGCAAATAACATGCTATTTAACCTTTAAGAGACGGGGCAGTTTGGAAAGGTTTCACTTAAAAAGACGGGAAATCCAAATGCATTTCCACCCCCCTTTTAGCTGCCATTGTAAAGGGAAACTACTACTCTTTTGCAACTTTTCCTGTAGGTCGCCTTTGGGGGTCACCTTTGTTAATTTTCAGATAAGAGGTTAGGGAATAATATAAAAGATTTTGTTGAATTTGTTCTCTTTTCTGCTGTTTCTTTTCCCTAAACTAGGGAAACATATTATGGTGAGATTTCGTAGTTAAATAATTGTTGTATGTTGGAATATTAACTTTTGATGTTGCGTCATAATGAAAATACGCCTTATCAGCAAATGCACGCCTATAACCAGTTCTAAATCTATTCAGTTTTTATTTGTTTCCAAACTGAATTTAGTTTAGAATTACATGTACTAATTAACATTTTTAATTTATACTTGAAAATGATGTTTAACTATTTGTTTCTCATATAAATCGGCAGTTCGCTTTTATTTGTTTCCAAGCGTTGTGTAACAGCTTATATTTATATATCAAACAAATCTCGTAGTATTTTTCTTATATTAGTTTCGTTTACTTTTTTCATTAGCATTCTTATTCAGTTTATTGTTTTTCACCCCATTATTTCATCTTTCAACTACATTATTGTTCATTGTTCTTTCTTGCAATTTTGTGATAAAAGCTTTTTTTATCCTATAGCTTTTTTAAAAAAAATTATTTTCCTTTACTTTAAAAACAGATTTCATTGATTATATTTTCATTGCATTTTGCATTTTTTAAATAGCAATATTAAATACAAAAATTACAATAAAAAGAGAAAATATAAAGAAAAAATGCATTTTTAATGACACTAAAAAGTTGGTGAAATTAATACTAATATAGATAATTAATACTAATAACTATGATATGCGCCCTCAAGGTCGCCCAATTTCTCGCCAAATATTTTTGGCAAGAAACTTCACGCTGCCATATTACTATCTAAATTTTTTGTCTACATTTCGAACTTAAAGCCTAAAATGTCTCCAAACACGGTTTTCGCACATGCAAAAACTACGTTTTGAACACACGATTTAAGCTAAAATCCGAAACAAAAACAAAAAATTTAGTTAGCAAAAATGTAAAGTTTCTAACCAAAAATATTTGACAAGAATCCATGTACACAGCGACATGTTTTAACTTAAAAAAAACATCTACGAATGGCACACTGTAGGCAACGAACGAATCTACGAACTACGCACACCTCGCTTTAATAAATTAACATAACAACAATAAATTTCAGAGAATACCATGTACACGCCGTTCTGTTTCAACTTTAAAAAACATCTACAAATTGCACAATCTACACTAAAAACAAATCAAGAAAATAAACTAAAATAAATTTCAGACAATTCAAAAAACAACAATAAAAACGGAAATTCATCCAAAAAACAATGAATATAACATTCTACAAAATAAAAACAATAAAATAAAATGCACTTTCCATAATGAAAGCTTCTTTTAAAAGCAGAAATATCTTTTCCCCCTATCTTCTCAGATACAGAGCATACAAAGTCCAAAATACATTCGTTAATAAAATTTCGCCAGTCACACAACTTCTGTGAAGAAAACTTCCACGATTTTGCTATATCACATGCCTTCCTACAATTCAAAATTTCAAAAGTACCAATAAAAACTTCCTCCAACGTTAACTTGCTACACAAAAACCAAGATCCAAACCTTAAACTCTGCTGACACCGACATATTTTATTAGCAACAATTTTACTGCAAACCCACACAAGTCTATCAGAAACACAATTTTTTGTCCAAGTTCTCATATCAGCTCCGCATTTCGGACACGTCAAACTCCGTTTTAAAAGTCCCAACTCCCACAGAAATTCCAAAAATATACTACGATCCCCATAAATTCATCCATGAACAAAAGACTCGTTAACAACTCCAACATCGTACCTTTTCATACAAAATTTACTCTGCACACAATCTAAAATACGCGGCTGAAACCTTTCCACCATGTCTTTCATCGCAACATAGGCCATTTCAAAAACACATGCGACATGAACGAACTAGCAATTAAACTACTCCACCAAAAGATTTTTCAACGTCGACATGTTTGCCGTACAACACTCAATCACGCCAAAAACCAACGCAAAACACATATCGCCCCATTTGGTGAAATTAGGGCATTTATCAGAGTTATACCAAAATTGCTAAGATTTCACAGCTGAGAGAAACAAAAGGGAATTTACAAAACCCGAGAGTTGGGAGGTGCAAAGGTCATCTCGCATAAGTAGTAAGGAGGTTATTCGGACAATGACTATCTCAGCATCCTGAAGGATGGGGGGGTGGAATTCGCTGGCCGTTATTTCGGCCACAGCCGCCTTTTGAGGCACTGCAGCTCTGGCCGATTGTTAGGCCACCCAACTTTTAAATGTTAATAAATAAAGATAACACACAAAATGTTTTAAAAAAATGCTCTTTTGAATGTACATGCAAAAAGATTTTATATACATAAAATCTGGAAGCATTCAGATTTTTTTTTAATTTTTAAAAAATTATATTTGTAGTATCCCTACTGGAGTTATTTTTGCATGTTACATTAATTATAAGTATTCCAAAACAAATCCTTCAAAAATGTATTTTTAAAGTGTAATGTAATGATGGGGTTAAAATATTTTGAATTTGTATATGAGATATAAATATTGTCCTTCAAAAAGTTTTTGTGCAGTTTTCATGTTAAAAATTGATTTTTATTTTAGAATTCTGTATTTTGCAGGAAAGGTTAGCTCATTTGAAGCAACAGTGTCAGCCTCATCTTGTTGAAGCTGCAAAAGATTCAGTTGAAGCCATCTGTGCAAAAATTTATAATTTGTCATGTGATTATGCAAAAAAGATTCGAGATAAGCATTGGGCACTCTTCAGACAGCATGGAATTGAAGGTAGAGTAATATATTTTCAATAATTAAATGTAAAATACAATACTTGAAGAAGTGAGGAAATTAAGTAGTCCCCATGCTTTTTGTCTCTGCTTTAAATTTTAGGTCAACATATTTATAATGGGGGGGGAGAATACCAAATTTCTAGTAGAACTCAAAATAATCACTTTTTATTACTTTTTTGTACGAAGTAAAGGAAGTATTGTAATCGCAAAAAATTTCGGGTATCATATTTCAATGAAAATATCTATTTCGATAGCTGCCAAATGCAATTAAACTATGCTTTTGTGTGACAACTATATGTTAAAACTGAATAAAGGACACATTTTCCCCAAACAGATCATAAAATTGATTTAAAATGGAATCAAAAAAGATTTTTTCTTAATGTCTGTATATACATATGTATGTATCTCTCATACTCAAAAACAAGTAGTTCCAGAACCTTGAAAATATGTAGGAAGGACTGCTATAACATGTAGTGGTGCACCTCCTTTTTTGGTTGCAATCCACCGCACGAAAAGTATATAAATATGTGAATGTGTGTATATATATATGCATAATTACAAAATAATTCTTTTGAAAACAAAACATCAAAATGTTTAGTTATTTTCGCACATTAAGCTGCAGAAACATTATCATTAAAGACATGAAGTAAGAAATTTAGAATTAATATTTCACAAAGACCAGAAATTTAAATTCATAATTAATAAATTCCAAATAATCATAGAAATGCAATAATAAATTTTAAAATTTTAAAACCAAAACATTTCAAACAAGCAAAACCCTTCTTCAAAAATTTTGAAATTAAAAGAAAAATGAACAAAAACAGAAGAGGAATTCAATCAATCTCAATGTCACTTCATCAGGGGGCAGGAACATTGAAACTTATTGAAATCTCTCTTCTACAAAAATCCTTGCTTTTTTGTATCCAGAATTAGCCGATGAACCATTTCAATTTATTTAAATTATAGTTCATTCGAAAATTTGGGCTCTTTTTTTAATTATAAACATTAGAAAAATCTTAAATAAAGAGAATTCTATCTCTTTAAAAAAATTGAAAATGAAAGTGAAAAACAAAAGTGAAGAAACAGAACAGTGAAAAATGTTTTTAAAAATTAAAATGTGAATCTTTAAACAGAAAATCCAATGAACTAAGATGTAGTTGAAAAACCTATTTAGAATATACAAAACGAAATTTATATGTATACCCACTCTGTTACTCGGTTCAATGAGATTATTTTTTTTATTCTTACATGTTGGTAAATTGTGCATTTTTTGCTGCAAAATGTTTGAATTATGTAAGTCTTAGCTTCTGGTTAAGGTTTTCATATCTTTACTTAATCTGCATGCAATAGTTGTAGAATTATTAACGATTTAAAATTTGTTTAAGTGTAACTAAGCCTAATTTTTGTTTACCATAGCAGCCATATTTGTTTACATTTGAAACTTAGCAGAATAGTGAATTAAGCCAGTTTCTGCATTTTCAGTGTTTTTTTGGCCGAGTGGGACGAAAAGTAGACATTCAACTTGCACCAAAAAATCTGCTGGCTGAATTGCTTGTTTTTGCGTAGAAACTCTTAATTTTAATTGTAAAAATTGTTTTAACTGTATTTGATGTTTTATTTTTTTCTATATTTTTCAATTTTTCATGAAGATATTTTTAAGTTTTATGCATTTTTGCCTTACTACAAAGTGAGAACTGAATTAAATGAAATCTATCTGTAATGAAATAAGTTTAAATCAAATGCAGCAAAAAATGTGTATTATTCCATACAAGGAAGTTGTGGTGTCTGCATGTCCGATTTGGACACACCTAAAAATTTCCTTCTGTACGCACAGAAAAATTGACTGAAAAAGGATTAATAGGTTACTCTGAACCTTCTTTATTTTTAGTAGATGGCAGCTCAACACAAACCAGTCCATATATTTTAGCCATGTTTAGTTTTTTAAGACCCTCATTTTTCAAAGAAATCTTCCAGATTTTTTTTAGGGTATAAAAGGAATTGTTTGAAAAGAAATTTTCTATGTTATTTTTTTTTTTTTTGGCTGTATGCTAATATCCTTATTCTATATTAGTTTTAAGTTTTTACCTTGAAATCTTGCCTAAAATCAAACAGTGAACCCTAGGTGTGCTCAGACCGGGCTCACCGATAATCTAGGACAACCGAGAGTCTGTATTCTTTGTTTCTCTGCATCTCATCGGTCAGTTCATTGACAATAATGCTCGCAAGTTTAAATCAAATGCAGCAAAAAATGTGTATAATTTAATATCCCATAGAAGGAAGTCAGGGTGTCTGCTTCAGATTTTTTTAAAATAAATTTTGTGCAGTAAATAATAAGCTATGGAACATAATTATAGTCATTAGGATTTGAACAAATTTATCTAGATAAAATGAGAATTTGGTCAAAATCAGTAAGCATTGTTTTAAAAATTCCTTTTGGATCATAAATTTATTCAGAAAGATTTTGACTATGCAAGTTTCCTTTGACTAGCTCTTTGTCAACTGAAGTGAAAAACATAGGATTGATTCTGTTTTTTTAAAGTAGATTCAACCATGTTTGTTGGATATAGCATGCATTGTGGTCTTATCTGGTAATTGTGGGAGTTCTCTAGAATACTAGAAGGCGATAAAATATTGAACCAGGTCTGTGTCATACGTAAGGTGCATTATACTGCTATCATAAGTCATTACTTACAGGGAAGATGACATTCATCAAAAAGGTACAGGTGGTGTGTGTATTGAAGTCTACATCTAATCTTCTTAATGAAGACTAGTGCAGCGATTCTCAACCGGTGGTACGTGCACCACTGGTTGTATGCAAGAGAGAAATAGGCAATATGCAAAGAAACAAAGTATTTTAACTATTAAATTCAATAATTAAATACTCCAACATCCTGTTTAAATTTTTTCTCTTACACTCTAAATTTATCTGATCTTTGTTCAATGTTAAGAACCGCCCATAGACCTTTAACAAAACCCTTTTTATTTTCACAAGTATTCTTTTAGCATAGACATAATAAAATTTGTCATAAATGATGCTTTAAAAGAAGTAATAGAAATGGATGTTGTATTTAATAGGAAATAAAAATAAGTTCCTATAAAAGGATAGTCGCATCTCATTGGTTCTTTTAGAGTTGATCGTTTTATTAGAATGTCTACATTTTATGTCGCCACTATTTCCAGGCTCATATTGCTCTATTTTCAATTAGAATCATTTTTTAACATCGATTGCTATCTCCAACAGCAGGTATTTTGTCTTCTTGTTGCTTTGTATTCCTTACTTTTCTAAACTATTTGAGAATATTGTCATTTATTTTTGAAGAACAATATTGTGCATTTAAATATTTTTGAAAAAATAATAAAACAAACTTCGAATTTCAAAATGGAAATATTACTAGGATTGGCTAAGCGGAAAAGCGGTGATTCACAGATGATAGATCCAGGACAGTCTACTAGCACTAAGGCTATTGAAAAGAAACAAAAAATTGTTTACAGAAAATATAATGAAAGTTATTTATCATTCGTGTTTACTTGGAATGGAGATGAAATGGACCCTCAACCTCAATGTGTTGTCTGCCATGAACTGTTTCCCAATCAAAGTATGAAACAATCGTTTCTTTAAGGACACCTTGAATCTAAGCATGCTATTTTAAAGATAAATCTGAAGAATGTTTTAAGAAGAAATTATTGGAGTTCAAAAATAGTAAACAAGTAATGAAATGTTTTGTTATTTCAAGTGAAAAAGCTTTAGAAGTTAGATATATAGTAAGCCTAAGGATTGCCAAGACTGAGCAGGCTCACACTATCAGAGAAAACCTTATATTACCAGAGCTAAAGATATCATTTTCATTATTCAATGAAAAAGCAGCTAATGAACTAACTAGTATTTTGTTTTCAAATGATACAGTAAGTTGATGTATTCATGAAATGGCGAATTCCATAAAAGAGATACTTATTCAAAAAATAAAACTCAGTGAGTATTTCACATTGCAATTGGTTGAAATTATTGATATAACTAATTTTATTCAATTATTAGTTTACATAAGTTTCAAAGAAAATAAAGGAATTGCTGAAGGGTATTTATTTTGGGAATTTCTTCATATTAGAACAACTGCAAGTGAAATTTTCAGAGTGATTGACAGTTTTATGTCTGAAAATGATATTCCTTGGGGATAAGTGCATTGCCGCCGCATGCAATAACGGAGCTCATGCTTTAACGAAAAAACATTCTGGTGTTATTTCTCAAATAAAAAAAAAAGTCTCACCTGAAACAAAATTTACTCACTGATCAAATCATTGTCAAGCTTTAATAGCGAAAACAGTTCCCGAAAACTTGAAAATTGTTTTCAGTCAAGCTGTGAAAAATTGTTAATTTTTGTTAAAAGCCGAGCTCTAAATTCAAGAATATTTACAATTTTATACCAAGAGATGCGGCAGTGAACATGAAGTACTTTTGTTACATTCCAAAATAAGGTGATTATCCAGAGGTTTAAAATCCTCTTTTTTTAACTTTGATCAGAAATTTAAATTTTTCTTTGTGATTCAAAATTTGGAATTGCAGAAATTTGATTCATAATTTTAGTGAATTATAGTTGGCACATTTAGCATATTCATTTAATATTTTTGAAAAGGAAATGATTTAAATTTATGATTACAAGGACAAAGTGTTAATTTGTGTACCATTGGAGATAAAAAAAAAATGCATTGTTAAAAAAAACTCAAGTTAATAATCAAAGAATTTGATAATAATATTTTTAACTTTTTAGAACTTTTAGAAAGCTTTCTAATCAAAAATAATTTGAAAATAAAAGAATTAGCATCCGACACTAAAAATCATTGTTTTTCATAAGTAATTTCAGCGTGTATTTTCCCAAGGATTATGAAGAAGAAAATTGGATTAGAAATTCATTTTGTTCAAATGTACCTGTTAACTTTTGGCTGAATCAAATAATAATAATAATAATAATAATAATGTAAAAGCATTTCAAACAAAGCCGTTTCATTTTATTGGCTTTTTGCACAACTTATTTGTGTGAATAAGGATTTTCTTCCATGTTATATTTGAAAAATAAATACAGAGCAAAATTAAAAGTGGACCCTAATTTATGGTTAAAACCAAGTGAAATAAAACCAGACATAAAGAAACTGATATCTCTTAAACAGGCTCAGATTTTGCAATTAAAGTATTATAAGTTAAATTTTGATAATTAACATGGTAACTAATTTTTAATATGATTTTTATGTGTGCATATTTAATATAAATAGCTAATAGGTTGTGCAAAGGGAAATAATATGTATATATATTTAAAATTTCTGTTGAGAAACAAGAAAATAATAATTCTAAAATGTAGTGCTGGTACTAAAGGTTTTCAGTTTTGTTTAGATGGTACACCTTAGTCAAGAGGTTGAGAACCCCAGTTCTAGTGCTTTAAGATCCCAACAAAATCCATTTTACACCATGACAGAGCTGTCACATGCTACTTACTTATCTAGGTTACATTAGATGACAAGATGGATCCATAGTTTCATGTAGACTCCTTAATGCATGAATATATTCATCTCCTGAAAACAGCTAGAAGTCTGATGTGTCGAATTAGGAAACATGGAGTCCATCATCTGCTTGCTTTAGTGATACAATAACTTTAACAAAATAAATTTCGAAATTGGCCAGTATGATTCAATGTGAAATGTTAGTTATAATGAAAACTGGTTAAAAGTATGTTTTTAAAGAATTTATTTAACTCTCCAGAAAGCCAAGAATCCCAAGTTTCCCAAAATTGCCATGAGAAACAGATATATCCTTGATTGTAATACCAAAGTGCCCCTGATATTTTATGGCTGGATTCTTTTCATAGACTGCCTTAATTTTTGGATTGTATTTCATAATTTATTTAAAATATGCTTACTTAAAGGTCTTACAAAAAAGTGTTCTAGAATCTGTATATATGGCTTGGTTAGCTAGAAGGTTGATTTCAGAGGCTCGCCAAGACTCAGAGACTGTGTAAAGTTGCTGTCTTTCTTTGTACTTAACCTTCCTCCCTCATGTATGTACGTGCTCACTAGTGCCACACAGTCATCTCGCTCAGGCTGTTAAGCAGAATTGTGGATTAAGCATGTGTTTCTTTTGTTTTCTAAATAAATAGTTGAATTTATTGATTGTAAATGGTTATCAATATCGGTCATATTAAAAGGAAATAGTTGGCAGAATGAAGAAATTGACACAAGAAGGTTTGTAGCATAAAAGAAATAACTGTTATTTTTTAAATGTATTTCATGCAGTAAATGGTAAACATTGTTTTTTAAATATATATCAGTGCCATCTATCAATTAGAATTAAAACTTTTAATTGTCAGAGAAATTTTTGCATTTTGTTTAATGAAACACCAGATTTTGGAAATTCTTAGTAATTTTTTTTTAATTATGTGGTTATTTTGGGGCTTATTTCAGTACAAAATTTTTATTATCTATGACCTTTTGAGAATTATGCAAGTTTTGAATGTTATTTTATGCATAAAATGTATGTAGTCATTTACTATGTGGAATTTAAAATAATTGATTTGCAGTTTCTGAAATTTAATATTTTTTTAACAGAAATTACCAGTCCATTGCAAGTTAGCATTCACAAGAAAGTTTATTGTTATCCTGTACAATTTGCTATTTCATCCCCACATTTGCCTACTGTCCAACTTCATACAGAAAAAGAACACACACTTTTACGTTTCAAAGGAGATGTTGTTAGAATTAGCACTGTTTTTTTCCAAAAACTGGTAAGTTTTGTCAGTTCTTCCAAAATGCAAAAGTAAGTATTTCAATATCCATTTTTATGTAACTTTTTGTATGGAAGCTGTAACATAGTAAATTTTACTTTGTATATTTGTTGTAATATTTTCTAGTTTTTAAAGACTTTAAAATTGTGAAGAGGTAATTGAACAAAGCACTGATTGTTTTTTGGATTTTAAGCATTTATTTAGACCAAATAATCTTAGTGAATGCTTTAAAAATTGATAGAATTTGATATTTCAGGGCAGGGAGTCTCTTTCACTGGTGTTCTGTTCTGTATATAATGTGAGAATTTATCACATACTTTTAATAACGTAATGTTAAAAACAAGTGATATGCATTGGAGTTAAAATCTGGCATTTAACAATTAAGAGAATTATTCAGAATTCGCCTCCCCCTTGAATTATCTTTTATAAAAATAATTTAGACCTTACAGATACTCAAATTGAAAATTATGACATCAAGCATATTTATCATTTGAAGATTTTAGAAGAATTATGTGAGAATTTTTTGTATTTGATGTAATTGTGTAGCATAAGTATGTCCTGTCTAAGTATTCTATTTGTTGACAGGAACATTTGTATCGTTTAAACTGTTCTGATGACAGGAAATTTGAAAATTTTCTTGCTCGTGTTTGGTGCATGCTGAAGCGCTATCAAGTATGTACATTTTCCTACTACATTTCATTCTGTTTTACTGTGTATATATAAAAAATAGTATATGTATATATATATATGAAATTTTTAAAATTTTAAGAATTTTTTTTTTTTTTTTCCTGCAGGCATTTTCTGGTATCAGTCATAACGAGGGCCATGGAATTCAAGGTTCATTGTCTGTGGCTGTGTTTGATTGTTTGCATAAACATTTTGGTGTATCATTTGAATGTTTTGCTTCACCTTTGAATTGTTACTTCAGACAATACTGTTCTGCTTTCCCTGACACAGACAGCTACTTTGGTTCTCGAGGGTAATTTTTTTAAAAATTTTTTTTATTTATATGTTAAGAACATATTGTTTATACTTTTGAATAATTGTTGAGGGATTCATTTAGTTTTTGGAGGCCAAAACGTGGAGAAAATAAAATTATAGTTTACTGAAATTTTCAGCAAGGTCAGGAAATTTTAGTGAAGAGAGTATGCTGAATATTACTAGTATCAGCACCTTGTAAATATTGAACATCCTTGCAATTTGCTATAAATTATTAAATGTGATAAATATGTGTAAACCTTATTATTATACAGGATGGTGTTTAATCTTTTCAGCAAAGCTTCTAAAAATCTGTTTTTAATGCTATTGAAAAATATGTTGTTTCCATGCCAGCTGAATTAAGCTAGTAACAGAATCATGGGCTGGGATAGGTATTAAGTGATTTTTGTTTCTTAAGTTTTGAATTAATCATTCAAAAAGAAGCATCATAGCAAGTACAGAATCTCTTTGAGAGCTATGCTGCAAGATAGCTGCCTGTATCTGGGGAAAAAAAAAAAAAAACACTGACTTAAGTATTATGCATTTTTTTTATCAATGTTTTACCAATAAAAGCAAGATCAAGATATCTTCTTTGCTATATAAAAAGGCTGAATATAATTTTGCTCATCTTTTTTTTTTTTTTTTTTTTTTTTTTTTTTTTTTGGAACCAAAGATTTGCTGTTCATGCATTAGCTCATTTGGTTTTTTAATGAACAAAGTTAAAGATGCTTTTTTTAGAAGGGTGTTTTTGCTTTTATAAAAAAGGCTTAATATAATTTTATTCATGTCATCGTTTGACTGGAACTATTGCCTTTTCCGAATTTTCTAAGATAGGAAAACTGCACAATGTAACAAATCGGGGAAGGACTGTATAACTTTCTTCCCTTCATTCTGAGGTTGTATTAAGACAAAATGCCCTAAGTGCAACAGTCCAGCTGAAAGTAAGGAATCATCTTGGTTCAGAAACATCCAGCTGAATTCCTACACATGAACTCAAGTTACTGTCTTCAAATTAAAGATAAATGGAATTTGGGAAATTGCATGTACTGATAGTGGAGCAAGTCATTCCACTGCAGTGAAATTTTATACAAACTTTTGATAGAACAAGGAGTGAACTTTCATAAGATGAATATGACAATGATTCTTGAAAATGGAAATCAGTCTAATATAGAAGTTTATACTACCACTGTAAATACTGATCTAGAAATAACAATTTTCAAAGCTAATAGGAGCAGGATCAGGAAGCTGGGATTGTTCTAAACTTCAAGGATCACAAATGGTAATTTAATTACAAACCATGTGTGACATATGATTTTGCTGAGGAAGCTAATTTTGTACATCTTGAAAATGCATATATGACTGCTAATGTCAACATGTGTCTTTTACATGAAGAAGGAAGTATTTTAACTGAAAATAAAAGGGAAAAACTCGCTGCTGTATTGGTGAAGTATAAAAGTGTATTCCAAGAGGGGGTCAATATAGATATTGGGAATAATCTTCTGGTTTCAGTATCCCGTATTGGATGTCTCCAGCCAAGAAGGATATTTTAAAGAAGGAGCTTGATGAACTGGAAAAGGAAATAATAGAAGAATGTGAATTTCCATATCCTGTGCCTGTTGTTCTTGTGCCCAAACCAAATAGAACGTCCAACTTTGTGTTGCTTACCGAGGGTTAATGCAGTTACAATGCCAGACTCATATCCATTACCTAGGGATGAATCAGGTACTGCATGCTGCTAAACATATAAATGATAACCACAGATTTACGGTCTGGGTACCATCATGTTAGCGTGTATCTTACAGACAGACAAAACAGCAATAGTTTGGTCTTTTGTAACTTTCCATTTTGTTTGTATGCCCTTTGGACTGAAAACTGCTCTGGCCACTTTTCAGAAATGAATCGACTTCCAAAACGGCTTGAAAGATATGCTCATTCTCTCTTACGTAGATAATATTATAATACTATTAAAGACTTTCGAAAAACCTATAGCTAATCTAGAAGCAATTTTTGAGAGGCTGCTGACATTTAAACTTCTGCAAATCGCAAGAAATGTAGTTTTGCTTGCAGTGAAGTATCTTGGTCACTGGATTACTGGTGAAAGAGTAAAAAATGATCAGGGGGGGGGAAATCCTCTGCTACACAGAAGATGCTTGGCTCCAAGAAATGTCAAGTGCAGTCTTTCTAACAGACCTGTTCCTGGTATAGAAGATTCATACCGATGTTTTCAGAAATAGCTAAACTTTTAAGTAATCTAACTAAGAACATAAGCTGGACATGGAGACCATTGAAAAAAAAAATATTTCCAGATATAACGACTTCTCATTAGCCCTCCCACAAAGCAAAATGATTCAACAAAGCCTTACGTTATTAGGATGAATGCTTATAACTGTGCTTTGGGTGCTGTGCTATTACAAGGAAAAGGTTCAGAGAAACATCCATTAGAATATGCTGGCTGTTTGTTCTCATCAACCAAATGAAATTCCTCTACAACAGAAAGAGAAGCACTTGCTGTTATATGGGCTTTGAATAAATTCCGAGGCTTATATTGATGGTTAAGAGATTACTGTGGCATCTGATCACCAACTGTTGAAATGAATTTTAAGCTTAAAGTCACCTATGGATAGACTTGCTAGTTGGGCTATGCATTACAGTTTTATAATTTGAATATGGAATACATCCCTGAAAGAGCTAATTTTGTAGCCGATGTGTTGTCACATCCTGTGTGCAACTGTGAAAGAGAATCACATGAAATTCATAATAACCATTGATATGCAACGCAGATGTGCAGCAGAAATCTATGGAGAGCAGCTGAAGGATACAATTCAAAAGTAAAGTAAAAGAGGAAAACTTTTCTAATTGGACTATGCAAGGTTATAGAATGAATCAAGGAGTTTTCTATCTCCATTCTCCAGACTGAATCGAAATAAGCTGAACTGATAGTACTAATACATAAGTGAGAAATAATTCTTGAGCAGTATGATGATGCTCTTATAGCAAAAGATTGTGGTGCTGAAGGGACATACTACAGAATTTCCCAAAGGTTTTATTTCACAGGAATGTACAGATACATTGCAGATTATATAAAAAGCTGTGATGAGTGCAACCATTACAAATCTTCAAAATTGAAACCATTCAGGTTGCTCCAAATACCAGTATATGACCAATGCTTTGAAACACTTGCTATTGATTATTTGGGAAAAAAATGAATTTTTATTGTTGAAAATTTCAATGCGAAATGATTAGAGCTTTTCCTTTTACTCCCTGCTACTGCAAAGGAATGTGCATTTGTATTAATTGAAGACATTTTCTTAAAATATGAATTGCCTCAAAAACTAATCAATGATAATGAAACTTAATTTGTTAGTGCTGTCATACAACAAGTATGGTTTCTTCTTAACATTGACCAAGTGTTTATTCCAGTGTATCACCTTCAAGCAATCCCCATAGTGTGAAAAAAGCAAGGATTTGGAACCTAAATTGGCCAATGCTTGTGGGCAATAAACAATTACCTTGAGCAAAAATTTTTTGAAAATTCATTTTGCAGTTAAATACTCATGAATTTGAACCACCGGCTGGACTGCCACATTCCTCCAGTTGGGAAGAGATCTGTGCCAGATGATGTTGCACATGATCTTAGGTAAATTATTACCAGTTGTAATTTGGTGGCAGAATTATCCCATATTTGAAAAGATTTGCCATTACATTCAAATAGGTAAATTAACTGGTTGAAAAAGAGATGTTAGTTTGCTGGTAAAGGGCAAAGACATGAATGCCAATTTAAACCTGGAGATCAAGTTTGGATTTTCAAGCACTCTGTAAATAAATTTGTTGAACAAAAAACATCTAAATTTATACCTCGTCAAAATGGCCTCTGTGTTATTCTGACTCAACACTCACCAACTGCATTTAATGTTTCAAACCTAAGTGAAGCAGATACTCCCTTAGATGTAAATCATTCCTTAAGACTTTGCCTTGACAAATCACCTCTTCAACCTTTTCACAGAAGAGGATAATCCCAGGAAGCCTACTGCTGTTTCCTTGTCTGGATAATATTGAGCCAGAGGAGGATTTTGTGATAAGAATGTAAACTTCCTTTCTTTATAATAGACATTCAACAAATGATCTTTAAAATATTTACTGTTAAATACAACATAAAAGGAACTACAAAAATGCATTACAGCTTGAGGTGGATTACATAATGTTCTTCTATGGCGCTTCTTGAAGAGGAGTGTGCATTCATCTTTCTTGCTGTCTGCCAATGGCAGCACAGTCCGAATTCAAACCTTGGGGGGAGGGTAGTGCAAAGTCTTTTCTCTGAATTCAGCCTCAGAATGAAGGAATAAAAGTTATTTAGTTCCCCCACCCCCCCAGGGAGAAATTTGCGTTCTTGGGTTGGAGTTTTCCATTTAAAAAAAAAAAAAAGATTTTACTTAATTATTCGAAGGTGCACTCTGACACACAGTAAGATGATCCGGTCACTGAAGTTATCAGGATGTTTAATTTCATGGTGTAATTAAAAGATTAGAACCAGTTTAAGTCCCCTCTATAGCCCCCCCCAAAAAAAATTAATTTTTTTTGGTATCATATTTGTATCATATTTCATAGTAAAGTTATTAATCACTGATTTTATTGTAGCTTTTATGTGTGCTGCTGGTTTACTCTGTATGCAATATGCATTATACCCATGGCTTCAACACTATGACTTGATGTATGAAAATACCACATTATAAATGATGTAATAAATTATTAGTTGCTGTAAAAAGAAGTAGCAGTTTTTCCCCCTTTTTTAATAATGTCTCTGTTTTTTGAAAGTAGATTCTTTATACAAAATTCAGTTTTGCTTTATTTATCATATTCATATGTGTCTTGGCTTTACTGTATTCCCTCACATATTTTCTCCCCTCTGAATCATCTCCCCTCCTAGCTTTTTAGCACAAGGGAAGTTATAAAAATATTCACATAATTTTTTCCTTCCTCAGTATGTTCAGAGAATAAGCTTCTTGAAATTTTAAAATGGATTCATCTACACAGTGATTGTTTTCATTGTACTGACAAAGATAAACCCGTACAAGCTACCTGCAAAAGATATGGTGAAGTTTTCCCTTCTAATTATTGAACTTCATGTCAGCTTAATACAAGAACAGACAAATCACAGCAAAGCAAACACAAACTGACATTCAGTCTACGATTTTGCTAAGTCTGCTGCACATTGAAAAGATGATTATTTATGGATAATTTGAGGCCTAAGGAATAACAGAGACAACAATAAGAATGGTTGAGATTGAAGTTACAGGGAAGTAGGAATGAAGATACTAGATATTGTATTGTTATATATTCTCGTTGGAATGTAAGGAAAAAGTATTGTGATAGTTACCAGTAAGTTACCCATGAGTACTTTTCATTTTTAATGTTCTTTAACTGAGTCTTTCAGAAATTAAATTATTCTCCAAATTTTCCCCTCTCTTATTGAAAAAAAAAAAGGAGGAAAATAGGCAAGGAAATATACTAAAAGTCAGAATTCTGGATTTAAATTATAGTTCTTTCAATCTTCTACTTTTAGACAAATAAACAGTCCCTTGAAGTAATTTATGAACAGTTTCTACAAAAAGATTCCTATGCTTTTTGAACCTTTTTGAAGTCAGGAAACACTAAACTCTGACTTTTCTTTTATTTTTCTGAGAACACTGATAATGCATCATGAGCTTAGTTTGTCAGTCAGTGTGAGAATGTATTCATTATTTCTTTCCATAGTTATACTGATAGCATTAAAGTTAGTAAGAATATCAGCAAAATATGCCAAATCATTGCACCAATTATATCAGTTTTTGTTTTTCTGCTTTGAAAAATTAGTAATTTATTTCTTAATTGCAACACTTTATTAACTTTTCCAAGTAATAGCCGCCCTATTTCTTGAAATATTCTATTTGGATTGATCGTTTTTGCCAAGTTCTTAAAGTCATAAATCCTTTGACCTTTACCAGAGCCAGATTTAGGCCCTAAGGTATTTGAGATATGGGGCCCTTTTTAAGTCTGTTTTAATATATTTTAATATTATTTATACTGTATTTTAATTTGGGGGGGAGGCGAAGAGCTATAGCTTGTGTAACTTACGTAAATCTGGCCCTGATCTTTACCATCATAAATTTACTTCATTATTATAAATACTGATACATTTATTCCATGACAATTTTAATGTATTAAAATATGACATTATTGCATCATATAAGTTTTGGCTTGTTGTAGTCCCTAAAAGTTCTTGGCAGCATAATTGTTTTTATTATTTTCTGTTTATAAGTAAATCATGCAAAGCTTAAGAGCTATGCATTGCCACTTATATCAGTTGATCATCTTCTTCTAATACAAAAGGCATATTAACAAGTCCACCTGAAAGAAAATTCTGTTTGCTTGATGGAAGTGTACAACACTGTTAACTTGAAGCTCTGAGTTGATCCTGTACCATTCAGCCCTTCTATACTCCCTTTTTTTTACCATCCATTTGCTCTTGAGCCCCTTTTTTTATTTGTTTTTACATTCTCCATTATGTTTTTTTATGTTACAACAAAGATGATATGGATTGATGTAAATGCAAGTGAATCAGCAAGGAAAGTGAGACTTATTGATACTGTGCATTTGTTGAACACATCTGCAACACATCAGTGAATCTGCAACAAATGCTGAGATGAGGAATGTGCTGAAAGTATTAGCATTAGATGAACAGCATTGATCAAATAATTTCCAGAAAAATTGTGAACATAAACTGTTCAAAAATAAACTTTTGCATAACTGCTATAGAGACAACCAACTATTGATGATTTTTTCCTAATTAAAAAGCAGTAAAAATCAGCATTTATATGTTTCTAGTCATATTTATTTCAAATTTATTTAAATTCTGTTGATATACTGAAAGATAATTTTCTTATCGCTTAATGTTATCAGAATAGTCATGGAATGATCGTATTAAGCAGTGCCTACTGTATACAAATCTTGTATAGACTTAGTGGGGGGAAAATGTTTTGAAAAGTTCTCTCATAGCTGAGTTAGGTAGGAAAAAATATCCTCTTAAGATTGAAATTACCTGATATGAAAGCAGTTAAAATTTCTGGAGACCATCTAATAATATTGTTTAAAATAATTATGCATATTAAATTTCTGAATGAATATTTCTACCATTCATTTAGAACCATTGTCTTCTTAAGTGTGACAGTTTCTCTCTGGAGCAGATTTTCTATATTGCATTTATATCAGAACCCACCTACTCTTAAAAGGTCTTTAGTGAAATGAAGAATACCTTACTAATTCAACTTAATAATTTCTAATAAATGCAGTGGGCTAAAGAACTTTCTTTGTAGAGGGCTGCTTTAAAAATTTGAATTTCATGTATTTTTACTGGAAAGTGTCCCTGACCAAATTATCATAGTAAGAAAGTTATATAGAAAGAAAAGTTTCATTTTTGATATTGGGTCTGTGATTAATCTTGCTTGAGATATTGAAATGATCAGTAGATGAATGCTTTTAGAAAATTCATTATGCAAATATTGTAAAAAAAAAAAACACTTTGCCTTGATACTTTTTGAAAACTGTATCTTATATTAATGAATACTATAATTCTATAATGTATTACTTTTTTTGTTTTGCTTTGTTTAATACTTTAAAAAATCATATTTATTTTTTAGACCGATTCTGAGTTTTTATCCAGTTAGTGGATCATTTGAAGCCAATCCACCTTATTGTGAAGAGCTGTTAGAAGCATCTTTTTTACATTTTGAGGTAAGCTTTGCTTTTGCTAAGTAAATTTTTTGCCAAATTTTCTATTTAATTTTGATTAATTTTTAATTGTAAATTATGCAGTTTAGCATATCTGTGTTCATAGAAATGAGGCTGTTATGGGCATATATTGGGTGAATCAGAAATACAGGTAGGCATTAGATTGTTTTATGGATTGACCATATAATGGCTAAATCAGGTGAGATGGAGCTATCAGAAAGGAGTGTCTTCAAATTGAAAAGCAGTGAACAACAGTGCTAGTCAAATTCACTTTTTGCCTCAACACTACTTGCCATTTCAAATGCTTTAACAATCCTTACTGATATTGCTACATCAGTAAGCAGTTTTTTTCTACTCAGTTGATAGTAACAATGCTAATTTAAAATGCATCTTCTGACTTGCAGCCTCACAGTTGTTTTGATATGCAGTTGTTCATTAAAAAAGCAGTCATTTTCTCAAATTTTCCTCACAGTTGACTGTAACAATGCTGCATTAAAATAACACCTCTCCAGTCTCATGGCCTTACAATTATTATGTTATACATTTGTTAGCGATGTAGCTGTAACTTGTTCAATGCCATCTGGCGAAATGGTGTAAGCTGGATATGAGTGTCATTTCATAGGCGACTAGATTTCCTTTTCTATTAGAGTTATGAATGACTGAGATGCACAGTTGTAAAATCATGCAAATATGGAGTACATTTTAAAGTGCTTGCAAAAACTATCAAAATAGACTTTTTATTGTTAAATTGCTATCTTTGTTTCTACCACATCTACTAATGAATGGGACACCGAATGGTTCGCCTTCCACCACCAAATCATTCAAATATGGTGCTCAAATATTGATACTAAATAGATAAATACTAAATTGATAAATAGCCAAAATAGGTTTTTGACAGTGAACGTTTTTGCAGTTGACTGAAATTTTATCACTGCATTTGGTATTCATCTAGTCAGGAGAGCAAAATAGCATTTGTACTTCTAAATGACAACTAGATCTTCATTTTTAATGAAATGAATGAGACTTGGTACATTTGCTTTCTAAAAAAGCATGCAAATGTGGAGCTGGTTCTACTTTCTGGCACAGAAATAATAGAAATTTCTAGTTATTTACAGAGTAATTCAGCTACCTAACTGTAAAAGTTCAGCTCCGGTTGCAGTAGGGAATGTAAAATAAATAAATCAGTAAAAAATGGAAGGAAAGAAAGAAATATAAAGATAAGACTTCAATAAAACAACTTCAAAAGACCTTTGATAAGCAATAGCAAAGTTGGCCTGTCTAAATGAAGAAACAAAGTTGCTCAGCAACACAGTCAAGTTTCCCTCATAGACGTGTCACTTGACAGCATTTTGTGTAGTCAGGGTGATTTTTGTTATTTAAGGCTGCTATCACACGTCGGTTTGTTTCGGAAGAACAACTGTTTGGAACAATTTTTCTGTTTTGTCACGACAGCCAATCATCATAGATCGCTTTGGCATTAACACAGGGGAAACTGGTTCCTTATTACAAACAACCTGATAGCTGATTGATTGAAAATGAACAACCTGCAATTTTTTTGGAAAGGAAGGAAAAAGTCGCACGTCTTTCTTTCAATAGTAAATCAGGTAGAAAAATCATCCAAAACAGTTGTTCATGTGAAACAATTGCCATGTGATATGGGCCTAAGTTGCTCAGAGCTACTGCATGAATCTCAATAGTAAAAGCAGATTATGTGTTTTGTGTTTATGCAGTAGGAGACTTTTATTGGTGTAATAACAAACCTGATATTTTTCAGTTTTCAATACCTTCATTTTTTAGAATTTAATTAAAAAAATAATAAGTTGTAATATGCTTCATAGCAGACAAAATGTAACAGTGATTAAAAATGCAAAATAAGAAAAGTAAATAAAATTGTAAATAAAAAAAAAAAAAAATTAATGAAGCAGGAAAAGGAAGCAATTATTTTTGAAATGTCATGTATATTTGTATATTTTATCATTCATTTACATAAAAAAAGAAAAATAAGTTGATTATTTCATATATAACATAAAATATAACAAGCATTGCTGATAATTAAATTTATAATAGAATGTACATTTTAAGTATACGAAAGAGGAAAAAAGAAATCGTATCACTTTATAAATGTATTTTCTTATAGATGTCTCCCATTAAATTCAAATAATGTATATCATCCGCTGAGTTGCCAACTCTCCCGATTTTTCACCATTCTCCCGCCAATCCAATTTTCAGCAGATTTCTCCCGACTTTTTCTTAGTCTTAAAATTTCTCACGATTTTTCTGTGTCTTGGCTTGGCTTAATATTTCGTTATTTGCACACACACACACACACACAAAGATTTTGGGCATTACTTAGTTTTTCTCTAGATTACATATAAAAGAAAACCGAAGTCCTTTCATCAGTGAAAAATTATGGCGCGCTTATGCTTTGTGAGCGAGATCATTTGTGTTCATAATCATTGTATTTCACTTCTCCAATCAGCATCGAGCGACACAGCATGTCATCTAGCATTTATTAGCCAATGAGCACTAATCAAGATCAAGGCTGTTATTTTGCATAATCATCAAGGCTGCGTAATACTGAAATAGAAAAAAATTTTGAAACATGTATGTAGATGCTGGTTATCTTTAAAGAAATGAATTCTCGATCAATGAAACTTACTTCTTGCATTTTTTAAAGAAGTAAATGCTCTATTGAAAGTTATAAAATACCTAAAGTAAATGGAGATGTAGTTACTACTTCAACTGTTAAAAATAAATTTGATAAAAATAAAGTAATTTCTGCACCAGTCAGGTATTGGCAGTTCTCAAAATAATGCAGTAGACTCCTGATTATCCGCACCTGCCGCACAAAGGTTTTTTTTTTTTTTTTTTTTTTTTTTAACAAGCGTAAAGGAAATGAAAAACGTTAAATTTGCTAACATCTTGCTTATTTATGGCAAAAATATCCCAGGCTTGCTGATATGGTGAAAACAGTTCCGGGTGGTGAGAATGTCGATGCTGAAAACATCAACAAGGTATTGGAGTGTGATGTCAACGCACCTGGCTTCGAACGGATGACGAAATTGTGAAGAAAGCAAAGGGAGAGACCGATAATGAAGGACAGCAAAGTGAAGGCGGAGACGAGCCCACTGTGCAGATGCAGAAGACTCACAAAGCGGCTTTGCAATAAGTCGCAGGACTGCGGAGCTATTTGGAAGAACAAGACGATGCGGAGTTAGCCGAGAAACTTATGCTATGAAAAATGCAATCTCGGATCAAGTGAAAATGCTTCCAAAACAAGAAGCAAACACATATGACTGATTTCTCCAAAAAGGTGTAGTTTTACAGTTATGCTTTTGTAATTAAATAAATACATTACAGTATTAAAACAGTACATATGTATTAATTTTTCTGTGTATCCTTGACGCGTCTCGTAACCACAAAGCACTTTTCTGTTTTCATTAACAAAATGCATTTTAGGTTAGTTTTGAGTGATATACTAAAATATTAAGCGTTAGTTAAACATTTCCTGCTGTTTATTTTATGTTTTATTGTACATAAAACAATTTTTAAAATGACTGTTTTCTCTTTTGCAATACCCGTTTTTAGCTTTTTTCGGATTATCCGCAATTTTTGTTATCCGTGGTGGCTGCGCCATCCAATTCCGCGGATAATTGGTAGTGTACTGTATTACAAAATATAAGTGTAAAGCTGATACAGATTTCTTTGAAAATAAAAAGAATTCCTCAACAAGGGAAACATTTCCGATTACTGTAAGTATATCTTTTGAAAAACGAATATTTGTGTTTTTGTCTTCAGACTTTAATAAAGCTTTTTGCTTTTTTGTACCATTCATTTTGCCATCATTCGATGTTCTTAACACAGTTCTAGAAAGTAGAATGCCTTTAATTCAGGTTTTACAATCAATGATTTATGATATCTTTAAAGACATTTTATCAAAGATTGTAAAACCAGTCATTCTTTTGTCATCTAATTCTATATATGATGTGATTTATGGTGTAATAGAAAATTAGAAGAAAGATGAAGATTTGATAATAGAGACTGCAACTAAAAAATAGTGGAAGAACTTACAGAGGAAGACACAAATAAGTTTTATATCCATGTTAGAAGTTACTTCTGCCGAGCATGTGATTACATACTACATAAATTTCCAGTGGAATTGTAAAGTATAGTGAACTATTTAGAATAATGTTGGCCATTCTGATAATTCCCCATAGTAATGCAGAGTGCGAGAGGATTTTCAGTGCTGTTGCGAAAACTAAGACTAAATTTAAATCTAACATTAGCAATGACACATAAGAAAAACTTTCATTAGCAAGAGCAGGCCTATGTGGCAATTCTTATGAAGGAAATTATGAAATTTCTCTCTTAATGAAAGCAAAATATGCCACTTTTCATAGCATTTGTACAAAAAACGATTAAAGTATTATTTTTTTGTTAAAAGTTGCAAATAATATATATATATATATATATTTTTTTTTTTTACAAGTAGTTTTACAATAGTTTTTTTACAAGTTTTTTACAAGTAAGTATTTTTGTACTATTTATATTAAAGAAGTAACTAAACTTTCAGATATTAATTAGTAATTATTTAAAATTAATTCATTATTAAAAAATATATTTTTCTCATTTTAAAGAGATTTCATTTCTCATTTATTCTCATTTTTCTCATTTCTCAAGGATGAAAAGTGCTTTTCATCCTTGAGAAAAATCTCTTGATTTCTTAAAAAAATCTCCTGATTTTTGAGTGCCGTAGTTTGGTAAGTTTTCATCTGCTTTGACTGCTCTGATTGGCTTAGTAGTTTAGAACAGCATATATACAAAATCGCCATCGGATGAAATGCTGTCAGGGAACATGTCTACATAAACTCTATTGTGTCACTGAATAGTTTTGTCTCCTTGTGTAAGAGGATATAAAAGAATAAGGAAATAAGAACTTGTCAAAAGAAAGTAACTGGATGTAAACTTGCTAAAAAAAAAAAAAAAGAATGGTAAAATGGTTACATTGCTTTAAAAGTAACTGGAGTGATGTCCATAATGGCCTAGTTTATATATATATATCTCATAATAAAAGGAAATCAAAAAACGGAACACTGTAGATGCGTGATTAGACCCATATTGAAGAAGATTTTGATTGTGTAGTATGCTAGTAAGGCTAACTTGGTAGTATCTAAAGAACTTGGCAGTTGAGGCAGTTTTAATTCCATTTTTATTTGCAACTGATATTTGTGGCCACAATCACTTGGCGCTCTAGTCGTGCCTTTCACAGAAGATTTACATTTTTGATATTGTTGAGATAGAAAGCAAGCCAGCGAAATTACATCTTAGCACAGTAGAGAGCAAAAGCTGAAGTGTGTAGTTATGAAAGATGGAGACACAGCGAAGAGAAAAGTTTTGGTTTACAATGGCAGTTACAGTTCTTAATTATTACATCATCAGAGCTGCGCTGGCCATAGAGTGATCTAGAAATGACGCAATGCAGAGAAGTTATTACGATTTTAGAATAGAGAGGAAGAATTAATGTTTATAGTTATATTATAATTTTGATTCATCATATTTTTATCTTGCATATATATATATATATATATATATATGCTATTCATGCCATTACGGAATAAATTTTGTTTAACCCCACAAGTGATATGACAGCCTTTATCTGGTCATGATAATTTTGTCACTTCATATATATATATACTCATAATTTAAATAGATTTATGTTTCTCACGTTATGATAAAACGTACCAGGAGCCATCAAATTTTGAATAATGTAATCATATACTGAAAATGAACACTTGAAAGCCCAAATTTGGAATTTGTTTTATTATCAATTTTATATTCTATAACACAATTTTTGATTAACAAACATAACAATTTCAAAGCAAGCAATGGCAACACTGTATGGAAAGAACATTTTTATCTCCAGCGCGCGAGACTGTGTATTGGAAATTATAAAGATATGCTCATTTAAAAATTATTTTGTGATATTGCTGTTGAATTGAATTTTATGATTTAAGTGTGAAGAACATGATATTTAATAAATATATGTGACACACAAAACATTAAAAACAAAAACGTTATGGCATAACATAAAATTTGAAAGCTTTCAGATTTTGTTTTTTCCATTGTTTTGGTTGTGATAGAAAGAAATTGTAATGCATATTCAGTTTTCTAAATCTTAAAAATTAATGAATAATGGGTAAACATCAGATTGATGTTTTATAAGTTTGCAGAAAAGTTATATTGTGCATGTAAAATTTTCAGTATTTGAACTTGTCATGATCTCTTTCTTCTACAGAGGTATATTGTAGTCTCTGTAGAAGAAATGTATGCAGTAACAGCAGCTTAGTCAACATAATTTGCGTTTGCAGATAGTTCAGGCATGTTTCGAATTAGCCCACGCAGAAGCATTTCTGACACTTGCTGTTTCCTATCAAAGAAGTTTTGTTTAAGTTCATATTTCCATACAGTTGAAGCTCTCAAAAATAATGTAATGGCCAATCTATCACAGGTGCAGTCAGATTTTCTTAGAAGCATTCTTCTAATACTTCTAGGAAAGCCAGGAGTGCTGATCAAATGTATATGTTCTAGTGGATGTAACACTGACTAAATGATAATTTTGAATTTTGTATATTAACACAATTTGTTTAATCATTTTCTGAAACTGTTTGAAGCATAAGCATTTTTACTTTAGAAATTTTATGTTAAAAATAATATAGTAAGATCAAATTCTTGCTCTTCTAGCTTTAAATGTAAAATCTGCAAAATTCTACCTTTAAAGATAGAAGATCTACATTTAAAGCTAGAAAAATCTGCTGTATAATTGTTATATTTTTATTCTCTTTGTTTAGAAATTATTATCCAGCTCTCAAGAACCACTTTCTTTTATTGTCTTCATACCAGAATGCAGAGATCCTGTGCCATCTTTCCTTTCTAAAATAGAAGCTAGCAGGTAAGATTAACTGACTGGGATTTTTTATGTATTTTAATATCTTCTAATCTATTTTCCTTAAGCTTATTACAAGCTAATCAGCATGACTTCAGTGCCTACAGGATCTTGGTCCAAGCATTTGATCATAGAGGAAAAGTGTAGTGTGAAACAAAACTGTAATCTCTTTATTCAATTTATAATATTAACAAAAGTTTAATACTTGATAAATATGCACAATAATTTTTGGGTGAATCTGTATGATTTGGATAGAAAAGCAAATATCAGAGCTATTTTATTTATGTATTTGATTGCTGAAAAGAATCTTCAGAAGAAAATTTTGTAGATGTACTTCATTCATTGGATATATTGTTTGCTATTAAAATATAAATTTCAATAATTTAAGAATACTTTTTTATGTGTATATGTGTAGCATAATATATTAAATGAATTTTATGATGTAAAATTATTTTCCAAGGCATAATATCATCCAAATTGGTAATCCTCATCAACATAAGACATAATTTCTTGTATAAAACTTTTCTCTCTCTCTCTTTTTTTTTTTTTTTTTTTTTTTTTTTTGTATGTGTGTGTGTGTGTGTTCTTATTTCCCTTTTATTTTTTTGTAGTCATCTAATTTATTAGTTTTAGTTAATTATCTTAATTTTAATCGCTACTCCTCAACACAGCTCATACCCTGAAATTGTTTTTCCCCCATACACCCCCTTTTTATTTGAATAGATGCCCCTAATATTACTTATGTCAACTTTCAGTGTTCTTAGATGAACTATTTTTGATTCTACAGAAGAGAGGCTTTGCACAAATTCATATATTAACTATATAACTATTGGTTATAGAAAATAACACCTTATAATGTTTTAGCTTTTTGTTTTAGCTTTTTGCATTTTAATCTGTATACTTATTTTAGAAAGGAAGTACAAAATTTGACTGTTAAGGTGATTTGAACTACAGTGGTGTGCAAAAATTAAGGACGAAGTTGAAAAATTAGCATATCAGCTGAACGAAGAGGCAGAGCGGACAGAAAGACCAATCGGGAGATTAAGTAAGGTGATGTATGGTAACACATGCGCAGATATGCAGGTAGACGTAATAGGGGAGTGTCTGAGTAGTATAAAGCATGTTGTCGGTGTAAGATCAGTATTTCTGGCAAAGAGATTGCACGCCGTATAGCAGTTAAAATCACACCGAGTTGCTGCCTCAGCGAGAAATGGCGAATAATCAATCTGTTAGACGACATCTGGATGCTTTTACCCGAGGTCGAATCATTGGGAAGTTGGAGGAAGGCCACAGTGTGACAAGTGTGGCTGCGGAGTTCGGAATTGCTCACAGCATCGTTTCATGACTTTGGAGACAATTTCAAACTACAGGAACAGCTATCCGGGGTTTTAGTAGGGGTCGTCCACAAGGAACCACACCCGCAGATGACCGGTATATTGCCTTACAGGCCAGAAGAAACAGGCGGCAGACAGCAGGAGAAATCGCTAGACACACGACACAGGCGACTGGACGACCGATATCACGTTTTACCATGGCCAGAAGACTGCACGGTGGTGGTCTGTTTGCACGACTCCCTGTACGGTGTGTAACTCTAACGCCTGCCCATCGGAGAAGATGTTCTCTGTGGTGCCGGGAATACCGGAATTGGAGAGACAATGAATGGGGACGAGTACTCTATACAGATGAGAGCAGATTCTGTCTGAGTAGCGATTCTCATCGCATACTCATCTGGAGAGAGCGGGAAAGCCACAATCATCCCTTGAACATCATTGAAAGGGACAGGTATGGAGGTGGCGGTGTTCTTGTTTGGGGAGGCATCATGCTTGGTGGTCGTACATCTTCGACGCAGGTTCAGTCAACGGGACCCGTTATTGTAACGAGATTCTTCTTCCATATGTGCGTCTTTTTAGAGGCGCTGTGGGTCTGCAGTTCCTTTTCATGGACGACAATGCACCATGTCATCGCACAGTAGCTGCCGAACAGCTCTTAGAGAGTGAGGATATTGAATGTATGGATTGGTCGGCACGATCTCCGGATCTCAATCCCATCGAGCATGTATGGGATTTTCTAGGCAGACGCTTGGCAGCTCGTACCTTACCACCAGTAACAATTCCGGAGCTTCGATTGGCGCTGCAAGACGAATGGGCAGCAATGCCTCAACAACTCATTGACACCCTCATTCTCAGCATGGGCAGACGCTGTGAAACCTGCCTAGCAGTCAGGGGAGATCATATCCCCTATTAAAGACCAGTCACATTGCGCTCCATGCTACTTTTTCAATAAAGCTTCTTTTTATCCCTCTGATTTCTCTTTTAGTAAGTGTTGCTTACATTACTCATGTCCTTACGTATTGGGGATCTTACGGTATTAAATGTGTTGATTTGGAAAGCTTTTGTACAAAGTTATATTGAAAAAAACCGTCTCGTCCTTAATTTTTGCACACCAGTGTAATATAGGCCAGTATTTTCTTAAAAATGTCATTCACATTTTGTATTTGGAGATTAATAATGTAGGAATTTTTATATGTAATGAATATGGTAGATGTGCTGAAACTAATTAAAATATCTAAGTTAATTTTAAATTTAAGGAATTTAGTTTGATCTCTGTGATAGATTAGTTGGTAAAACATTTGCCGTGTAGTTGTATGTTATAAGTGATTAAAATAGATCTTATTGTTATTAGGTTTAAGAGGAAACAACTTTTAATTCCTGCATATGATCATGAATATCGTCATGGATTTCAACATGTTATTCCAAAGTAAGTAATATCAATTTAGAATTTTTTTTTTAAATTTATGTTTTAAAGTTTTTTAAAATAATTGTTACATTTACAAGGAAATACGGCAAAATTTATTCTTATAAGAAATTTCAGGAACTTGAAACAGTGCAATACAGAAATATAAGTGATAAAAGACATCTCTGAAGGCTGATATGGGACTTATGTGCAAGCCACATCAAAGTTTTGAATTTTACTATTCATTCTGTTTAATGTGATTCATTTTAAGTTTTAAATGTTTTTAAAATAAATATCTTCTTTATAATTAAGATACAATAACACGCCAAGCAAATTATAATTTAGAAGTCAAACAACAAAAATCAGCGTTGTATTTTCAAATTTCACAGGACTAGTTTCAATGGTTTTTATCGAAACATCATCCTCAGCTGCAAAATCACAAATGAACAAGATAAGATAAGAAAGTCTGGAAGGAGATAAGCTACTGGCGCCATCTGTTGATGAAACCAGAACTAAAACATAATTTCTTCAAAGGTTAAAGGCAAAGATGGATTGGAATTAGGGTTGTTAACTAGAACAGAAAGACTTTTTTGAATCTGAAATGCCTCTACAAAATCCAGTTCACCAATGGAAGAAGTTTCTTGAATAATTTTGGCAGCAAAAAAATTGAAAGTGTGATTTTCGGACCAACAATGTTGGGCAACAGAAGACTTCTGTGTTTCCTTTTTCCTAACATATGCCTCATGTTCCTTAATGCAAAATTTTAAGGCTGTCTTAGTTTGGTTAATGTAAATTAAGGCACGCTGGCAAGGAATCCTGTAAATACCCCAGGAATTCATATCTGGAATGGGGTCCTTGAGTATGGAACTCGAAATTTTATTGATGGGAGAATAAACGACCCGAAAGTTACTGCAAAATACCTGCAACTTTATAGCTAATTGATGGAAAGAAGGGAATGACAACAGAATTTTTATAATCTCCTAAAACAGGAGTGTGCCTTTATGTGTGTTGAGATGAGAATTTTTTAACTGCTTGATTAATAATGTTGGGTGAAAAGCCCCTGTCAATAGCTATTGCTTTTAAATAATTTAGTTTTACATCAAGGGATAGTTTGGAGAAGCAAACTTGAAGAGCACGGAAAACATAGGAATAAAATGAAGCTTACTTTTGTTTAGTTGGATGACATGATTTGAGTGTGGTGGAAAGCAAACCAATGTGAAGGTTTATGGTAAACCGTAGTACTGAAGTTGGATGTGTTACGTGTGACCAGAATATAGAGAAACAGAAGAAAATTGCAAGTCTAAAGTTCAAAAGTGAACTGAATAGCAGGATCACTGTTGAAAGAACTTTTTTTAAAATTATCTTTATTACCTTCAAACAGGGTAAAAGTATCGTCTACATAGCGGAACCAAACCGGGAAATTTAAAGTTTCAAACCATTTTGATTAAAAATAATGCATATAGATATCAACCAGGAGGGGACTGAGGGGCTTCCCATCGCTTATCCCTCAGTTTGCTTCTAATATTTATTTTGGAAAACAAAATGCATTTGTTTCAAACAGAGTGAGAGAAATTAGCTCATTAATTTCTATGCAGGAAAAATGAAATTCGCGAATTCTGGTTTCTAGACATCTTAATGCACCTTCCACTGGAACACTGGTGAATAATGATTTTACATCAAAAGAAACCATAAGTAAATTTCTAGGAGAAATGTTATTAACCTTTTTTACAAACTCTGTTGAATTTTTTATGGTGTAAGCGTTATTGTCTAATAGAGTTGAAAATCTAGAACTAAATATTTAGCTAATGGATACGAGGCAGTACCCAAATTTGATACAGTAGGGTGGAAAGGAATACAGTCAAAAGTCTTTAATCCGGACTCGTTGGGACTTCGGTGATTCCGAATTATCGATTTTTCCGGATTATAGATCATCAGTTTAAATCTGGTAAGATGGCATGCAGAAATTATAAAATTAAAAATATGAAACCGTAATTTATAAAATAATGAGCAATTATGATCTAAAGGGTATCAAAATTTACAAAAAAAAAAAAAAGCTTAATATTTATTTGTTTACTTTATTAAACATTTCTTTCAACGCGCGCATGCGTAAAGTATACATTATGCATAGCCGAAATTAGAAAATTGCAACCAGAAAACTATTTGATTTGTATTCGTGATATTTATAATGACGAGGAATTTGATTTAAATCATATCAAAGACGAAGTACATCGAGATGAAATACTACATTTAATAAGGAATTATAAGCCAAATAAAATAAAAAACATCTGCCCTGAAGATAAGGATAGTGTTGACAAATCAACTTCCAGTTCATTGCGCACCCCCCTCCCACCCGCGCAGAGCAGCGTAACAAAGGATATGCCTTTTTGGAGCAATTCCACTTTTTGTTTGATGGACATCGAAACATACTTTCGTTATCGTAGATCCTTTGGGAGCTCCAGCATCGAAAGTTCAAGCTTACTTTTATAAAATTGCTCTTACAGTCAGCAAAAAAAAAAAAAAAAAAGCCAGATCCAATTCGAAGATTAAGGAACAACGCAATCATCAACATTAACTGAAATAGACAGTTAGATAATTTTAGCTTTTACCGTCCGTTATACATTAAACGCGCAGCGAAAACGTATTCTGCGCTTTTGCACACGCAAATGCGCAGTCTTAAAGGTCTTATGCGCACGCTTAAACGCCTGTGCGCATGCGTCAACGCGGCGCATGCGCAGAAAGCTTTTAGCTTTGAGGTCCAGATTATGGGTGTCCGAATTAACGACTTTTGACTGTACCACTTTTATGAATTTTGGGAAAAGCATATAATCTGGCACAATTCACAAGAGATGCGATAAACGAATGTTTTAAGTTGCTTGAAAGGATTTATGAAGATTTGATTGCAGTTTTTATTTTTGGCAGATCCGAAAGCGAAGGATCTTAGGGATCAGATTATATGGTCCTTCATTTAAGAGTTTAGTGACACCATCGATGTAAGTGTTCTTATCCATGATGGCTATCTGGCCACCTTTGTTGGCCTTTGAAATGAAAACATCCAAGTTAGAATGAATTTCGCCATTTTAGCTCTTTCTCCTTATAGTTGTAAATTAGTTTGTGTATAGAGGGCAATAAACTGGAAAACATATAAATAAAAGTGTTATTGTTTTGAAGTTTTTGAGTTGAATCAATTTTAATTGTTTATGTTGTTCTTTCAAAAATAATCTTTTATGAATGCATTTTTTAAAGTGAAAAAGAAAACAAAATGACATAAAGAGCTACCTGCCTTCTAAATAGTTGTAAATAAATCTGTGCATAAAGGAACAAATCATGGGAAATAAATAAAAGTTTGTGTTAAATTTTGGTATCAAGTAATTTTTTTATGTCCCCCTCTCACCAAAGTAAAAACAATAGTAATGTAGCATAGAGAAAATAACTACTGATTTTAGAGTTAGAACTTGAGATTTTTATGTCTGCTTTGTCATGAAGCATTTTGTCAAGGGCTTTTTTAGTTGAATTCAAATAATATATGCATTATTTAGAATTTTAGATTCAGTTTTATTGCTTGTTTCTGAGAGATATGCTGTATATATTATTTGTTATTATTTTATTTTACTTTAATTTCAGTTTGATTTAAATAAAATTTGCTAGTTCAAGATGATTGATGCCTGATGGGAGGGACAGCATGAAAAATTATGTGTCATGAAATTTGTGAATTCCTTAAGTTTTTATGAATCTGTGTTTCAGACTTTATGTTTGTTAAATGTAAGTAAACATACATATATATTAATTTTCTGTTGTAAATTACATGAGATTTAAAATCCTGCTAGGTCTGAGATATGTCAAAGATCTGTTCATGGTACTCAAGTATTTTTCTTACAAAATGATTCTGGGTATGCAAGATGGGGACCAACTCCAGAAAGAATTGAAGCACTGTTAGAAGCTTTCAAACTTGGAAAAGACAAGGATCGAGAGCAAAACATGACCCCAGCTACCCCTACTCCATCGCAGGGACCATCCTCCACCCCTACTGCACAAACTCCCGAACAAGGACAGTCTAATGCCAATACCAAATTGACAACAGCACAGACTTGTACCAATCCAGGAAGAAATAATTCTGATTCTGCAAGTAATCTGAATCATTCTTTGTAATTTTAAAAATGTTAAATGGCATTTTTTATCTTGCATTTTAAGTAGATGATCATGAAGGCAGTTTTGCATTCAAAAAATGTTTTTAATTCCTGTTTAAAATTTTTTTTTTGACAAAATCAAAAATAAATGTTTTTTTAAAAGATATTATATTAAATTTATGGAATACTCTTCTTTATCAAAAAGGTACTTTAAAAAAATGAGATTTTAGCCTTTATAATATTACTATTTTAATATGATTACAGTTTTTGTTGTGAATTCATTTATTGATATGTAAAGTTACTTATTTTAAAATACATTTATTCTTTCATAAATAGTCATTTGATATAGATTCCCGAAAGTTATTTCTAACTGAATTTAGTAACAGTATGGTTACATATTTATAATTAGGCCATTTGTGAAGTGAATCATAGAAAATAATTTATTTTTTGTTTAAGTTGTATGAAAATTTATGTTTAAACTGAAGTTAAATAATTATGAAAGTGATTCTTACCCCTGTGTTGTTTTTGATTAAGTAATAAAATTGTAATCTTAATATCAAAAAAGAAGTAAAAAAAATTGCATTGCAAGATTAATATTATATTCTCCCTTTTCTACATCATGAGCAAATCTGTATTGAAGATTCTGACTTGCTGCACCTTTAACAGTAATACTGTTTTGTTGATTGGTGCTAATTATTAAATGGTATCAGCCTTTCTTCTTATGAAACTGGTGTCTAACGAAACAAAAATTCAAATAATATATAATTTTCTTGTACAGAATTTGTTGATATGCTTGTTATTAGCATTATTTTTATTATTTGCCAGTAGTAAATGTCTTTTTAAGTCAAGATGCATGAAATCGCCCATCTTTGTTTGAACTGCAGTATATGCAGATAGCATATTTTTATCTGTATGTTCTCAGTAGACTTGGAAGATTTTCAGATTAATAAGGCGTAATGTCTGTGCGGACTTTTGTGTTAAATGTCTTTTATTTTAATGTAATTTTGCTATTGAGAAAATATTTGTTTTCATTTTGACAAAATTATACTTTCACAAAAATAATTCATTTTTCATTTAGTTTTATTTCTGTGCAGATTTATTTATCTTAGAAATTTTCAAATTTAGATTTCAGAATACTGAAAGTGCAAGCAGATTTTTGTGTTTGCTCAAATGTTCCATACATGGATAGATCCAAAAGTTTCCAGCCTGATATACATTAAAAAAAATAGAGAAAGTTTTAATAATGTATTTTTTAGCATGATTTCTTTGTACCATGATGAATTTTTCACATTTAATGAGTGACTTTTGCATTTGAAGGTTTGCCCATAAAATACTGTGTAACTGCTCTTTTCACCCCATCATCATCATTAGATCACTTTCCATGAAAATTAGATTTTAGTTCAGAATACAGGTAATAATCACTTCGGGCTGTAAAGGGGGAGGGTCAAACTCCTTAAGCCCCAAAGTTCTGTATTTGAATTGCATTGACACATTCCTGTTTTTGAATTGCTAAAAGAAGTTGGAGTATCCATCTTGCAGAGATTTTATTTTTGAAGAAAGCACACAACAGTGGTTTTAGATAGATCCAATCTTGCTGCTCTTACTCATATTTGTTTCTAGACATGAATAGTATTTTCTGATGTCAATGCTTCTTATGGTCTACCTTCATGAGAATCATCATTTATAGATTCTCAGCCCATGCGGAATTGTTTTACATATTATTTCACCATAACAAGGGGAAGAGTGAACATATGTACCATCTAAGCTTTTTTTTTTTTTTATTTCTTTGGGATTAAGGGCTTCATTAGTAAAAAATTTAATATCAGAATGATACTCAATTTTAACCCTTTTGGAATGGGTGTGTCATATATGCATCAGCTGTCAAATGTATCACAGAGCCAGATGTGTCATATCTGAATCACCATTTAAATGCTTTGTTAGGAGAGTATCCCATATATGAAGTTTTAGATAGAACGTTTAATTTGTATCTTCTTCCCCCCACTAGATGTAGCCATATGTCTGTTGTGGTGAAATTTATCCAGAGTTGAGAGTGCTGAGCTTCATTTCATGGGTTTTTTTTAATTTTATTTTTGGTATTTGTATTGGAATCAGAGGGAAAACAGGGATTGAGTAATATAAAAAAACAGCTGGCTATGAACTGTCTCAGCTGATATAAAGACATGGGAGAAGTTTTCGGCCTCTGAACACTTTTTTGTTTATATATTTGGTGATATGGGAATATATGTCCTATCGATTTAGAGGTTTTAATCATTCCTCTTTGCATTTGACTAGAGTTGAGGTAAATATTTTATATATAGTTTAGTGAGACATGTTTTGTACTTCAAATGGCAAGGAAAATATCATGAAGTTTTCAAATTAACTCTGGCAACTACTTGAATGTTCCTCTCATAATGTGCCATAAAAATTAGAGGAATTAGATCACAAGTTTAACTTACACAATTTTTTTTCCAAAGTTAGGCTTTGCCATGTAAATTACCAACCCCAGCAGTGCACCTTATAAGCATGCCATCCCAAGAGACCCATCAATGACTGAAGCACCCATATTGAAAGATTTAAACATTTCAGAACGGACTAACACATCTCTTCATTTAGTAAAAAGTCTCTCCCCCCCCAAAAAAAAATGATGCAGAGATGATTTCTCTTACAAAAATTTCAGATTTAAATGCTTTGCCACTATTCTAGGGGAATTTGTTGCCAAACATTTTTTTATATGCAAGGCTGGAAACTTTTAATCTACTTCTTTAATGTGTTGTACATTTTAATGTAAATGAAATGTTTAATATAAGTTTGTATTCAGTTTTAATTTTTGAATAATTGCAGGTATATGCCCAACCTTTTTTAATGTGCTGTTTAAAAATTACTCTGTATAAATATACCATTATAGCAAGTTTTCTTTTAACCCATAGATGCTATCTCAGATAAATTTTCAGTCCATGCAGATTTGGGTTTAATTTTATTTTTTAAAAAAATGTAACCTGGCAGCACTAATTTCTGAGCATTTATTCACATCATGATTAGTGACTATATTGTCCTGAAACAGTCAATTAAATCTGTGTTTTGCTATTATCATAATCGAAAAACTAATTCAAGGTGATATGTGTTTCATAATTCCTAAGATTTTTAAAAGTTATGCAAAAATTTTTAACTAGATTTTGAGCTTTAACATTACAATATTTGCAAGAAATAAATTTATTCATTGTAACTAATGCAGTATTATTCATTACAGCTATAAACAGTAACTTCTGTACTTTTCATCCAATATTCAGTGATAATGAAACATTTATTTGCATTTGTTCAACTTTTGAAATTACAGCCATAAATATTTTTGTTGTTGTTTTTGTTTCCTGTTTCATATATCGTGCTGTTCAGGCAATTAGTATTCACGTGGCCTGACAATTTCCTGCATTACGTAGAATCTGAGGCTTGGCAAAACAATAGAGCTCGGAGATATTACCATTAAACTTTATGTAATAAATCTTTATCTTTTCTAATTAAAATCATGCATTGTTACATCAGAGAACTTTTATCATTATATCAGGTCATTTGTATCCTATGAGGCTCTGTTTCACAGCCCACCAGCAGTTGAGTGGGTGTGATTGCTAAATCCAGTGTCAAGCATCCCCTCTCAAATTTAAAAAAAAAAAAATAATAATAAATAAATAAAAAAATAATAAAAAAAGGGGGGAATGAAATTTCATACGTGTTAACATTGAGGGGATTTACTTTGATAATAGCTTTAAAAGTTTTATGATACATGAATATATATGTATATAATTACCTATTGTTGATAAACTTTCCATTAATAATATTTAAAAAAATGCTTTTGATAAAATAGAACAGAGATCAGTGATATTTTTGAATGCTAGATAATATGATTAGCTATCTTCAAAAATTGATTTTGTAATTACCCGCTTTATTACACAATTCTTTTAATTCAGCCATGTGACAAATATTCAGTTGAAACTCATGACTTATTGTTTGCTTATGTTATCAATGTGCCATTTAGCTAGTTTGGCTGACACAGTTTTTTAGCTCTCATGCAAAATTCTGTTTATTGGTTATGGTTGTATAATTTTCTTAAAAATAAAAAAAGAAAGAAAGCTTTTATGTGTATTTTGTGCTTTATTAGTTTGTGTTGAACTGTATATATTTATATTATCAAAGTTTAAATTGTTTTAACTGAATGTAAAGTGTTCATCAGTTTTCCCTCCCCTCATTTTTTTTTTTTTTTTTTTTTTTTTTTTTTTTTTTTTTTTTCTTACCTTGTAGAGTTTACTGATTGTAAAGTAGTTTCTATTCAAAATCATATTATATGCATTGTATTATATTTGTGAGGCACACTCACATTGAAACCATGCCATTGTGTAAAAATTTGCTCATTCTTACTATCCATCCTCTCTAGCACAATATATTTATAATACATGTGTCTGGTACTTTTTTGTTTCCATTCATATTATATAGTTGATTTTAATGCTATATTATCTTTCCTCTTATTTTAAGTATGTAGAATAGTTTTGTTAATGTAAATATGTATATTGGTTATAGAGTATAAAATTGGTTTGAAATATAAATTTCGCCAATGATTTTAGTAAACACTTTTATGTATGAATCATCTCTTTGTAGATTTTAAATTTGTTTCTTAAATTGGCAACAATTTTAATGTATATTGTTCAGACTTTTGTCAAATTGAGACTCTTATAATGATCCAATTTTTCAATTAAAAGTTTCTACTTATTATATAAAGTGATTTTGCTGCTTACAGTAGTAATTTCATATATTCCTTCAAATTCAGAATGTGCATATAATATATATATATAGCCATCTTTTGATTTATAAATATATGCACTTTTCTAAATATGCCTCCTCCAAAGAAAAATGAAATAATCAAATTAATAATAAAGTATATTATCATTAGTTTAGAGCTTTTTTTCAATAAATTTCTGTTACAAATTTGCATGCAGTCATACTTCAGAAAAAGCTCTAGTCTCTCCACTCCCATTGTTTTACTGATAACAGTCTTGTGATAAGAACTGATTTTAATCATCAATCTGCCACAAATTAGTACTTCATTGTAAATTTAATGCTTCATGATGAACATTTTCTTCCTTTTTGTTAAAAGTAATGTAATATTTATAAATCAAGAGAAGGCTATAAATATATAAGCCAAAAGTTATTTTTTGATCAAAAGTATGAAAGAAAATAAAAAAATATAAAAAAGAAATTTGAATAGGGCATTGGTTATATGTTACTAAACACTTAGTTGATGTAACACATATAATGATTTAAAATGGTAAATGTGTCTTCATTGTAAATATCTTTCACACTGAACATCTCGAGACATATATATTTCTGTATATTTTCTTACAGAACACATTATATGTTGAATGAAATATTGTACTTTATCACAGCATTTTAGAAAGGTCAGCGGTGGATTATTTTAGTTTTTTTTTTTTTTTTTTTTTTTTTTTTTGGAGGGGGGTAGTACTTTTGCTGTTCCATATTGGCTAACATGCCATCCATGAACTTTTGCTATGCTTCTGTGTAATTTAATGTATTAAAATTTTATTTGTTCCAATAACTCTGTGGTCATAAAAAAAAAGTTTTTTATTGATCAAGCTGAGCTTTTTTAGTCCTATGCAAATAGGTTTTACGAAATATTTTTTTATTGATTGATGCTACCTTATATGCTCATGCATTTTAAAAAAAGATTCGTAACTTTGATGTAGGGTATAACGTTATGTTATAAGTGAAATTATGATTTAAGCATTTCAAAATCGTAAATAGCATCTGTAATTTTAAGTTTTAATACATATGTAGGGTGTATGTAGTAAACACACTGTAATTTTTAAACTACTGTTTTGTAATAACTTAAGATAATCTGGAAAGGCAAATTATTACATTCACCATGATAAAAATATGCTGAGTAGTAAGTAACGTAATAGAAATGGTAGTGTGCAATTAATGCATTTAATTATCACACTAAAATGTTATACTTTTGCCAGTGAATCATTGTTAAGGCTAGTGAATATATATATTTGATATATAATTTAATAATTAATACATATTTGTGTGTCTTGGATACCAAGAACTGTAAAAGGCAGATGTTTTCATGATGTTACTGAAATTTAATCTGTTGCTTAAAATTGTTTTTTGAATTTGTGAAAATGACTTTGTGTCAAAGAAAACTGCAGTTAGTATTTTGAGACTTCTGGAAATTTATTGAAATATGTTATGCAATAAGCATTTTACTCACTTAATTATTATATCACAGTTTTATTTAGTCATTTGCATGAACATTCAATATATTTTGTAAAAATATCTATATACATATATATTTACTATATAATATAATCAATATTATTTTAGTAAATAAATTATTATTAACTTACTTTACAGCAATTGTGCAAGTAGTAGATAAACTTGTTTTTGCACTAAATGAATTTAAGATCATACAACCATTTGATATATACATATATATATATACTTTGTGTGAGAGAGATTAAAAACAAATTCATTGAGCATTTCTGTGAAATTTTGCCATTAGCATATTAAAAAAAAGATCTCTTAAATCCACCGCTGGATAATGATATTCGTATGTTGTATCAGGACTGTTTGTTATTTGTCTTTTCTTTTTTATTATGTTTTTTTTTAAAGATTTTTGTATGATAAAGCATATATCTAAATGATATGTAAGCATATATTAATCATTGAAATTATTACTATCTGCTTATGAAATTTTATTAGAATCAGAGTAAAATAAGAGTGAAAGTTCATTCATTCTTGAATGATCTCATATTTTAAGTACTGCAATGTGTGAAATCCATCATTCTTTTTTATTGTACATTTAAAAAAATATTTTAAATTATGTTTTACTAATTTTAAGGCATGTGCGGACTTCTGAAAGATCTTTTGATTTACATTTTAATGTCTAAAATTATTTTTATTCATCTCTTATTTAAAGAAAGAAGTGATTCCTGTTATATACTTTTTAAAAGACTATGTTATCTTTGTATATTTATGCAAAAAAACATTTTTGTAACTGTGCCATTCTTTATATAGCTATGATATTTGTCTATATTTAAAATAATATTCAGAGTTCCAAGAAAAGTATGTATGTAAATAATTAGACTGTATAGTGATTAATCATAATGAATCACTGCCAGTTTTTATGTAGGTTTTAGCAGAAAATTATCTTTTTTGTTCTTGGCAAGTATCAGAAGCAATGGAATATGTAGTTCATAACACCTCAAATCAGAAATGTATAACACCTAAATTCACACATTAAATTTTTTATCACTGTATGCTTCAGATAAATTACTTACATCCCATTAAAATAGTGCATGGCTTTTTTTATTATTATTTGGAGGGGGGGTTGAATCTGTCACATACATAATTTGGTTTGTTTTTATTCATTATAATACAAAGTGATTAAATCTGAAAGCTTTTGAGCTTGTGCTTCTTGTAGTTAAAAAAAAAAAAAAAATTTCCAGCTAGCAAAATTAAAAAAGAAAAACATTGAAAAAAGACATTATTTTACTCATTTTTGCTCATTAGTTGTTTTTTTATTGGTAACTGAAATTGTTAATTTTAGTAAAATGTAATCTTAAAGTGATTGAAGACAGATGAAATTTTTTATGGTTTTTCATTGCTGCACTTAACAAAAATGTATTATTTGAAAAGAAATTGTACATGCCTTATAATAGTGATCTTACTGCAGTTTTTATGTAGTTTCAATGCAAGCATTCCTAATATTCTTAAAAGAGGGTAAATTTTGTGCTACAGTTTTTCAGCCCTCCCCACCTTTTTTTAATACTTTGCATGTAGATTAAATGTTGTATACAAAAGGTATTGCAAAAATATTTTAAAATGGATGAAAAAAAAATGAAAATCAAACACATATACAGACTGGTTGTATTTTTATATCTTGAAAGTTTTACTTTCCCAGTTTTAAAGTCTGCACTTGTTAGTGAAACATTTAAAAGAATTGTTGTCACATTTGCAGTGCTTACGGATTATTTATGCATCTCAACAAGTACTCAGTTTCTCTCTCTTTTTTTATTTTTGTTACATATTCAGAAAATTAATATTCAAAGAAAATGTATTTTTAATTACCTTTAATTTATATAGATATCTAAGGGCATAAAAGAAATATGTTGTTAAATAAATGAATACTCTATTGTCTTAGCATTTATATATATAAATGATTTAATGCACTTATTCATTAGCATATAAATGTTATGCACATATTAAAATGTGATTTTTTAAATTTTATATTATCATAAATTTGTTGTTTGAAAAGTGAATGGATTTTAAAATATCACTAACTACATAATTACTCATGAAACAGTTTTTGTAAAATGTTTTTAAAACTGTCATTTGATAACTGTAAATACATTACATTGTAGCATTTATTGCATTCATCAGAGTACTTATAGAGTTTAAAGTTTCCCTACACAATTGATGTGTCACCTGTGTTCAGAGTTTGTTGAAATATTTCATGTCCATCAATAAAAGTTATTGTAAAATACTCTCTAGCTTTGTAAGTATATCAGTTACATTAAAATTTCCAGTGTATATGTAAAAAGTGTGTGTAGATAATTTTCATACATATTTACATATCCATCCTGTTTATTCAGAAGCAGTAATAATCAAATTTCACGCTTTTAAATAAGCATTTACAAGTGGTGTGTTTTAGAATGTGGTCCTGCTCATTAGGTGAGGTATTGTGTTATGGCCACATTAGACCCAAGACTTGCACTGTAGCAGATTAATAATTAATATCAACTTTTGTTTAATGTGTACTCTATTGGCAAACATCACCAGTAACATTGATAACAGCTCAGAGATGAACAAACTTCATGTTAATAAGAGACAAGCTGCAATCACATATTTCACAACATACCAGAGCTACAACTAGATGTAATTTTAACACTTTGTGGTGCACTATATTTTAAAATCGGAATTTCAAAAAAAAAAAAAATTGTATGCAGTCTATCTAGGCCTAAAGGGGAGTATACAGGTAAAATTTTGTATAAATTGCACTTATCGCTTTAATTCTGTGGGTGTTCCATGAGGTGGAACACTGCGCCGCCAGAGATTTTAAAATTGCGACTAAGCGAGCATTGCAGTGAAGCACGGAAATGAGTAGGAGCATTTTTATAGTAATGAAAAAAACCACTGTATTATGGTTGTATACATGGTTTTCTGGATATACACAACATTCTTGAATAAATATGGATAAATGAGGTAAATATATGTTGTTCGATGTTATGCAAATTGTATTTCTTTCTTTGTACCGAGGAGCGGCGCAGACGCAAATTTGTTAGGTTTTTAAAGCTCACATTTAGAGCTTTGAGGTTGCTGTGAATTACTGGAGTTTCAACTAAGCAGAGGTTCTTCTGAGTTTGTGTTGGTAAGCCGCCACTGAAGTCGGAGTTTGTGTGGTCTTCGCCGTTCCTCAACTAACTTACTATTTGAAAGTCAATAAAGAAGTTTCGGTCAACGTTATGACTCTGAGGTTTTTTGGGTTCTATACTGAAGTAATATCAAGTCAATTTACAGTCCACTATTTTTAAACAACGGAACGTACATGTTTTTGGTCCGTCGAGCCGGAGTCGCAGTAAATTTGGTGAGTCAGTGTGTTTTTTTATCTTTCTTATTAGATAATGGAATTTACAACGCTTAAGACTAAAAAGCGTGTAGCTAAAGCTAAGTTAAGTAAACTGAAAGAGAAAATTACAGTGACTTACGATTCTGCTGATGTTGATCAGTTAGAACTTTTTAAATCTAGATTAAATAATTTAATGACCGAACTTTCGGATATTTTTAGTAACATATTTGTAGTGTGTGAAGAAAAAAGATATTGATGTATTTATAGAAGAACAACAGGTCATACAAGATACTGTTGATGAGTTAATTTTAATGCTAACCAGAGTTAAGAATGTTAAAGACATTAGTGTGGAAACTAAATCTTGTGAAATAGCGAGTATACGCTTACCTAAGCTAACTCTTCCTGTATTTAGTGGCAGTACTGAAGAATGGTTATCATTTTTTGATTTATTTAAAACGGCGATAGTGGATAATGACCGTTTATCAGGTGCACAAAAGCTACAATATTTAAAGGGTGTTCTTTAAAAGGAGATGCTTTGCGGATTGTTCAAGCTTTAACTATTTGTGACAGGAATTTCGAAATAGCGTGGCATTTATTGTGTCAAAGATTTTCACATAAGAGAGAATTACTTTCATCGTTATTAAAGAAAATCTTGTATTTATCAAATTTACAAGCTGAAATTCCTAGTCAGATATTAGCGTTAGTAGACACTGTAAGAGAATGTGTATGTTCGTTTGAAAATCTAGGATTCAAAGTGGAAGCAATTCGCGGATACTATTTTAATGTTAATAGTACAGTTTAAATTGGATTCTTCGACGAGAGGATGGTGGGAAAGAACATTAAAGAGTGAGGAAATACCAACACTTAATAATCTGCTAGAGTTCTTGAAATCTCATGCCCAGAACCTTGCAAGCAGGTAAAATGCAAGGTGTTAAAAAACAAGTTACAAAAGACAAATTAACTTCATTGGCTTCAGAGATTCGCGCGCAGTGTACGTATTGTAAAGCCGGTCATTCAGTTTTTAAATGTAATAAGTTTTTAAATCTGAATGTTCAGGAACGCGTTAATTTTGTTAAGAGAAATAATGTTTGTTTTAATTGTTGGGTTTCAAATCATAAAGCTTTCGAGTGTAGAAGTACACATAAATGTAAAAAATGCTTTAAAAATCATTACACACTACTGCATTTCGAAAGAGTTCAAAATG